TATTAAAGGGAAGAAGAGTCGTCAGTGCTTTTAAAATGAAAAATGTGTACTATCGCTTTTGGGGCACTTGATAAAGAGGGTGTGTGGGAAAAGGTCCCCAGCCACTTTTTTTCTTCTAGGAAATGCTGTAGTAGATTAGTATTCATTCCTGAAAATACGATTATATGCTCTGACCAAGTAATTTGGAATTGAGGGAGTGGGTTTACAAGAATATTCCTTTCCAGTTTTTAGTGAGGGAAAGCCACCAAGGGCACTGCCTCTTTCTGGACACAGACGCTCAGACTCACTTCTATATCATAATTTTTACCCTTGCGTAGGCTCTCATGCATTCTCATAAAGTGGGCAATACGCTTCTATCCATTCTTTTGGATGAGGACACCGAGACCAGGGAACTTGCCTACGGTCCTCCTGAAGTCTTTGTAGGCTGGAACCCACCCAGGATCCTGGTTTAGTCCTGGGCTTTTTCCTGAAAGACATTTATTGGAAATGGTAAATACTATGTGCTTAATTCACTCTCCGTAAAATATTTCAGTTGCTCCCTGGCACTGCCCACTGGATAAAGACCAAATTCAATATGGCATGCACATTCCTTTAGGCTGTGACCCACCTCCAGCCATATTTCTCACCTCTCTCACATGACTTAACTCCCTGGGTTACATCTTCTTTTCTTTCTTTTCTCTTGTCTTTCTTCTTCTCCTTTCTGCTTGTCTACTTACTGAACTCTGGCACTTTTCATATGAGCCACTTCCCTAGAAGGACTGCTGTGGACAGTCTCCCCATCTTCTCTCCCTCTGTTAGTCTTCCTACAGTTAGGTGCCCCTGTTTTGTGCTCTCATGTCTGTATATCAACACCTTTATTATGGCATCCATCATGTTGCATGTTGGGATTATCTAGTATCTCTCCTGAACTGCAAGCTACTGTTAACCCTTCAGGGCCCAGTACCTAGCACTTGGTAATAATTCATTTTAATTATCCCTGTCTCTTATAAATGACCTTCTCCCTGTCCTTGTACAAACTTCAGCTATCTGTAGAGGCATAGCATCTTCCACTTTAAAAAAGAATGTATGTGTCTGTGTATATATGTATTTATGTATGTATATACGTATAACTTAGTTTAGAAATGGCAAGGCCAGGAATGATGTGGGTTTGTTGTTGTTATTGTTGTTTTAAGTTTTTAAAGTCACTTTCTGCTTTATCCAATGTGTGTTTAGGGGGGTGGGGTGGGGTGTGTGCCACTACACCCAGAGAAGTCATACAGGGAATGTGGTGGTAGCAGCCAAGGAAAGCCATTCAGGGGGTGTTTCTATCAGCTGAATAGTGGCAAAATTCTTTGAGGGCCTTACTGTTTGGAAACCTCATACATCCTTACCCCATCTAAAACCCACACACTTGAGGCACTTGAGGCAGTAGTGCTATTTCTGGCATCTGACTTTCCTCTACCAGTCTTACCTGTGAGGCGGTGGCTGTAACATTAGTTCCTAATCCTCTGGCACTATATATATTGTACATTGATATGTTGGGTGACGTGTGTGGTTTCTCTGTTATTAATGCTATTGACCTAAGTCAGTGTCTTTGGTGACAATTAATAGAAACCCACTCTGGCTAATACATGCCAACAACAGAATTTTTTGTTGTTGTTTTTTTGGAGATCGTGTCTCACTCTGTCACCTAGGCTGAAGTGCAGTGGATTACAGGTGTGCACCACCACACCTGGCTAATTTTTGCATTTTTAGTAGAGATGAGGTTTCACCATGTTGGCCAGTCTGGTCTTGAACTCCCGACCTCAAATGATCTGCCCACCTCAACCTTCCAAAGTGCTAGGATTACAGGCATGAGCCACCACACCCGGCCCCAACAATGAAATTTATTATAAAGATACAGACACAGATGTGAATTATGGAACTGTGGCCCAAGGTGTGTTCAGGCCTCACAAAAGCCTGGAAAGCCATGGGAGTCCAGGCCAGATCCTCCTCATGTGTCTGTTTTCTGTAGAACGGCCTTCTATGTTTCCCCATATTTGTGGCCAAATGTACAACTCTATAGTTCAGGTAGCTAGCTTCGTTAGTATCTCTTAGTCCTTCCTGAAAGACATTTGTGGGAGCCAAAGATAAAGGAGAAAGGAAATGATTAGCCCAGTGTATGTGGGGCCATTGTGCTTATTCATTTCCCCATGCAGTTGACTTGTGGGGAGGTGGTATGCTCCACAGGGTTATGGGAGCAGGCAGCAGTAGTCTGAGGAAAGGGAGTATTGGTAGGACAGAATCCTAAATGGTGTACCCTGAATATTTTGTTTCTGGAATGTAAAGAAAGAATCTGGCCAGGCGGAATGGCTCATGGCTGTAATCCTCATGTTTTGGGAGGCCAAGGTGAGATGATTGCTTGAGGCCAGGAGTTTGAGACCACCTTGGGCAGCATAGCAAGACCTCATCTCTACAAAAAATTAAGGAATCTCACTAACCATTTCAAGAATTAATATAGGTAGTTTGGAATCTTATAAATTCTTTCTGCTGATATAACATTAGGCTAGTCTTCTCCAAGTTTGCACCAGTGTTTGGGCTGAAGTCTAATTTTTAGTCAAGATGACCTCTCTAGTGTTCTAACAGCCAATTGAATTTAATGAGTAGCTCTACTCTCTCCTCAGAGAAAGATGATAGAACCTGTCAAAAATAATTGTGCTTTCTGGGCGCAGTGGCTCACTCCTGTAATCCCAGCACTTAGGGAGCCCAAGGCAGGTGGATCACGAGGTCAGGAGTTTGAGACCAGCCTGACCAACATGGTGAAACCCCATCTCTACTAACAATACAAAAATTAGCCAGGCCAAGATCATGCCACTGCACTCCAGCCTAGGTAAGAGAACAAGACTCCGTCTCAAAAAAAAAAAAAAAAAAAAAAAATTATGTTTAATTTTGTTTTTTGTCAATTATAAATGGGGAAAACTCTCAGTGATAATTTTTTTGTTTTGTTTTGAGATGAAGTCTTGCTTTCGTTGCCCAGGCTGGAGTGCAATGGCGCAATCTTGGCTCACTGCAACCTCTGCCTCCTGGCTTCAAGCGATTCTCCTGCCTCAGCCTCCCGAGCAGCTGTTATTGCAGGTGCCTGCCACCACAGCTGGCTAATTTTTTGTATTTTTAGTAGAGATGGAGGGTTTTGCCATGTTGGCCATATTGGTCTCGAACTCCTGACCTCAGGTGATTTGCCTGCCTCAGCCTCCTAAAGTGCTGGGATTACAAGTGTGAGCCACCGCACTCAGCCAAGAATTTTTAAATTACCAAAACACTCATAGCTTTTAACATGCAGGAATAGTTCCTCTTGCTTAAGCCCAGACCATTACATCAGAATCATTTGGGCAGCTTTTTACAAAACCAGGGCATCAGCCTGCATCCCTGCACTATAAGTCTGCAGGCTTATGGGTGCCTGAGAATCTGTTTAGATAATAAGCTCCCCATGTAATCTGACCGCCCCAAATATGAGAAGCACTGCCTCAGAGGGACTTGGTTTATTGGCATCTTAGTTACCTCCAAAATACACCATGTTCAAAAATGAGTTCCCAGGAAAAGCCATAACATTTTTCTTCAGCCTCAAGATGGGCTGTACCCAAGTTTCTTCTAATGCCATATTTTAGTCTGAATTAACAAATTTAGAAAACTTCCTACCCAGGGCCTTCTACCAAAAAAGGAAAAAAAAAAATCTAATTTTATTTGTTGATAAAACTGGTTGTGTAGTATAGAATGTTCCACAGTCAGAATTTGACTGATTGCATCCCCATTGTATTATTTGACATGTTTCTCTGTCCCAGTGTTTCTGATAAATTGGCTGATTGCCATGGAAGTTCAAGCAGATGGAGGTTAGAGATTTTGGCAAGAACACTTCATGGATGGTGTGGTACACTTTATTAGGAGGCCCATGGTGTGTCTCTTTGTTATGTTAACAGCCATGTCTTTTTTAACAGCCAGAGGTGATCATCACTTTGGTCTATTCACTAATGTTTGTAATTAATTATCTTTGAGTATCCAATAAATACTGAGCCCCAAATAGAGGCCCTTGAATATATTTTTACTGAGAAGCAGTGACCCAGAACCTGGCCTTGATTCTCCTTTACAAATGATTGTACCTCTTGGCACTGTCTTGTGGTTTTAGGTAACTTAGAATGGACAAAGAATGTTCCAGCTCTCTTTATAAGCCCTGGTGTGCTATAGATCAGCTGGATCAATACTGACTTGATACATTCATGTTTTCCTATGCTTATCTCTGGGCCTTATATATATGTCCATATTCTCTGAATAACACATCTTTTGCTTTTAACCCTTGGTCCTCACTGGAAGGAGAGGGGATCATGCTGTGGCATGTCGTCTCTTTTCTTTCTTTCTTTTTTTTTTTTTTGAGACAGAATCTCACTCTTACCCAGGCCAGAGTGCAGTGGCAGGATCTCGGCTCACTGCAACCTCCACCTCTGGGATTCAAGCAATTCTCCTGCCCCAGCCTCCCAAGTAGCTGGGATTACAGGTGCACACCACTACAGCCAGCTAATTTTTGTATTTTTAGTAGTGACGGAGTTTCGCCGTGTTAGCCAGGCTGGTTTCGAACTCCTGACCTCAAGTGATCTGCCCACCTCAGCCTCCCAAAGTTCTGGGATTACAGGTGTGAGCCACCGGGCCGGGCCATCTCTTTTCTTTCTGATTCTGTGCTTGAGCAGCCCTGCTTTGCTGTGCAACACTTCAAGTTGTTTCTTAGATAAGGAGTGCACACCCCTCCCCCTCTTGGGACAGCTAGTAGTTATCAGTCCTAAATAATTAGTTTAATACATTGAATATCCTTAACTTGTTGGAATTTTCTGTCTTCCTTTAGTTAAAAACGTTTTTAAAAAGTATCTAACTTGTAAAATAAACGAAAAGCTCCTGGGTGTATGTGATATTTTAGTGTGTATTCTGAAAGCATGGCTTAATGTTATTCATTTTAAACCCTTAAACAAAGAAAAATATCCTTTGCTCTTCTCTTTTAGGAAATTCACACAAATGAAAAGGAAGTAACAGAGAAGGAAGTAACTCTTCACTTGTTGCCAGGTAACTGTCATGTTAGCATAGTAACTCCTATGCAAGGCAAAGCCAGTGATAAATTACATCATCCCTAGCCTTGCTATATTTAAACTCCTTTGTTTTCATCCTCTCACATATAACAGTAATGAATTAGACAAAAATATCAAGGTTTTTAGTTCAATAACTACGCACCTGGGTCTGAGTATTACAACATCTAGAAAGAATTTTTCTTGTTTCCTTTTCCCTCAAGCTGGTGAAAATAAACCTGAGATATTCTCACTGCTTTTACAAGCATATGAGGCCTTTTTCAGGCCATTCTACATGGCCTCTTCCAGTATGCTGACCCCCAATCAGGAAAACCTCAATTCCCTACAGAACTCTACACCCTATACACTCTTCCTGCTGTCCAAGTCTGTAGCTGCCTGTGAACAATGCAGCCACCATGGTCTCCCAAGGCAACCAGTGGTGGGTGGCCTCACCTGTTGGTCTATATCCACTTGTGCATGTGAGCATGTATATTGGGGATACTGGGATTTACCAACCCGGGGGCTGCCCGCACTTCGCCCTGTGGTCATTGCCAAGGAGCCTGGATTAGTTGAGTATTTTTGAGATAGAAGACAGTGACTTTAACTTAAGTTTTAATCATTTCTGTGTTCAGGAATAGAAACTACTTGGTGGCGTATCCTCTCCATATATGGGATATTCTGTGATCCGTGTATTTAATTCTTTTTTCACTTTCTTTTTCCTAATTCCAAATAGCTTTTTTTAAATAAGTTTTTTTACGTACATTTTCCCAAAACAATACAGGCTTCATTCTGCCACTTTTTATTTTATTTCAGTTTATTGAGGGGATATAAATCTGTGCAAGTTTCTGACTGATCCACCTTATTTGGTAAAAGAATCCTATAACTTTTTTTGATGTTTTTAAATATCAAAGGCTTTTTTTCCTATAATGATGACTTAAACGTTACTTTCTGTCTCCTCTTGTTTTTCCTCTTCTTGGGGTTATAGATTTGGAAATTTTATTTTTAGCTCAGCATTATGCATATTCTCCCCTCTCCTGAATTACTTCGCAGTTTCATCTAGGTGTAGGTGTGCAGTGGTGAGTTCACAGTTAACTTCTCTGAGCCTAGTTCCATAAACTAGACAAAGATCATTTTTAGCTCCCAACTCTTGTGATTCTAGACTGTGATCTGATATAAACCAGCTGATTACTATGGGGCAGCATGCCATGTTTGCTGAGGGTCTCACCAGGAATGTTGTATTAGCTAGTGCATGCTAATTTCTGGTCTCTAGTACATGAGCATGGGAGGGGGCTGACCTGGTCTTAGGGAGAGCCTCACCGTTAAAAGGTGTTTCACGTTGAGAGTTGAAAGCACAGGGAGCCTTGCTCACATGTCTTCCACCATGGACTTAGTAGAGACACTTTTTCTGGGACTATTTTAAATCCTAATGAGGCTCTGTCTTCATTATTTCCTTTGAACTGATCTCTTGAGAGGCTGACCTAGTGACTGAGCCATCTTCTGCTATTTCCTTAGTTTTTCAGCCAGAGGTAATTAACCTTTTGAAAATGAGGGAAAAACACCATGATACGTGTCCCTTCTGAGTGTCTGAAACTCTTCTTTGATTTCATATTGAAAGCTAGACTAAATAAATTTTAAGCCAAAAAGTAAATTTAAAGACCTTGAAGGAGCTGTTGAGAGGGAGATTCCAAGGAGAAGATGGTTATCTGTTGCATGAGAAGAAAAATCCCTTAGTTTTTTTTGTTGTTGCAAAACATTTATACTTAGTTTTTCATTTCTGCCACAGTCTTCTGTTTTTCATGCCCCCATGAGCTCCTCTGCTTCCAGAAGGCAGAGAATACTTACCTGTTCCCCAGTTCTCATCTTTCTGACTGCAAGGAAGGATACTTTCTGTCTCCAGGGGCTGCAGCTTTCACATGGGCTGGGTGCTGCAGATCGAGCAGGAGAGGTGACGCATTGAAAGGAAATATGCTTAACTAAGAATGAGAGGAAACACGCTTTTCCCCCACAAACCTCTGACCTCTGTTTTCCTCCCAGTGTGGAGCCAGAACAAGAGTGGTCATGCTGTGGAAGGCTGCAGTACTTCTTGGTCTGTGGAAGCTGCCTGGAAGCCCCATGGCCAGGGAGACACCACCGCTCTCTCTCTCGGCACTTCCAGTATTAGAAACTACCCCCTCTCACAGAAAAGTGGGCTTGAGATCTGCATCTTTTAGGGCAGACTGGGGCAAGCCCATCTATAATTGCTTCTATGAAACATCTGCTTGGGTCAAAGTAATGAAAACACTAAGATCTCTGCATGAAAGTGCAACTCAGATCATTAGTACCTATTCGGAAATTTCCATTATTCCCAGTGAGAAGATAGAGAAATGTCCAGCATGGAGGTGTATCTGAGCCATTTGAGTTTCACTGCTTGGTGGTTCCCACTCTGCCTCATCTTCTCTCCTACGTTTTTGCAGCTCCTGCCATGCTGAAAAGTGTGAAGTTCTGAAGCTCTGAGTTGTACTGTATGTTTGTCCTTATGTAAATAGGGCTCGAAAGCCTTTAGGATTTGCATATTGTATGTTCCCTGAGAACTCTAAGGAAGACTTCTTTTTGTTTCCAACAGGTGAACAGGTGCTTTGTGAAGCCAGCACAGTACTGAAGTATGTCCAGGAAGATTCCAGTCAGCATGGGGTCTACGGGAGGCTTGTCTGCACAGACTTCAAGATTGCCTTCTTGGGCGATGACGAATCTGCATTGGATAATGATGTATGTCTGGGCTGCATTTGGCAGAGTTTTCAGGGAGTAGTGCACTTGTGATTCCATTGTCTTCCCCCCACCCCAGTTTCTCAATTACTCTACCCCCCAACACCCATAAACACAAGGGACAGAAATCCTGTATGTACGAGCTGCATTTGGTGAAGTTTGAGGGGAATAGTACAGTTGTGGCTCTGGTGTCTTTTTTCCCCCAGCTGCTCAGTTACTCCTCTTCCCACCATCCCCACCGTCCCCGCTGCCCCATATAAATACACACAAAAGACAGAGTCCTTCTCATCACTGGCCTACTCTCTGTCCTTCAAGGTCTCCTTTCAGTGGCAGGACCATTTAGAAATTTCTCAGTGTGTCATACTGGCTTGTTTTGACCTCGTATTGACACTGTCAGCTTTTAATTTTCTTCTGTATTTTAGTGATATATATATATGTATATATATATATATATATATCACTCACTGGAATAACATCTTCCAAATATACTAGTTCCCCATGTTTTCTCTATACTAAGCTCTTCCTTAAACCCAGGAACAGAGTTCAGTAATGAAACTGATGGTGAATGCAGCCTTTGAATTTGGGTTTACTATGTTTTCGTTTTATTTTTAATAATTTTTTTTGAGACAGGTTCTTACTCTGTCACCCAGGTTGGAGTGCAGTGGCACATTCGTGGCTCTAGTAATCTTCCCACTTAAGCCTCCCGAGTAGCTAGGACCGTAGGCATGTGCCATCATGCCTGGCTACTTTTGTTATTTTTAGAGAGGCAGGGTTTTGCCATGTTGCCCATGCTGGTCTCAAAGTCCTGAGCTCAAGAAATCCACCTGCCTTGGTCTTCCAAAGTGCTGGGATTACAGGCATAAGCCACCTCACCCAGCCCACCTTATATTTAACCTGAAACTAGTAGCAGTATCCTTGTGAAATTTGTTCCTACTCATGAAGAATGAGCAATCAAGTAAGGAGAGAACTGCCCATACCACTAGGAGAGCACCATATGTTAGTGGAAACCCAGCCAAGGCACTTCCTGGCCCCAGTGTGCCAACCGTCCCAGACCACCCTTGCTTTTTAAATAGCACCAGTGCTGTCTCTTCCATCTGGCCTTGGGCTTGGTTCATAGTCCTGTACAAAGAGAGCATGTACCAGAAACTTGAATCTCTTGTTCTTCCTGAAGCTGACTTCAGGTTGCTCTGTCAATCCCCTATTCACATTTGTGTGGAGAAATGTTAACCTGTACATCACTTCCCCACACTTCTCAAAGTGATTGTGTGTGGCATGGTGAGTTTGCCTAGGAGGAGCTCAGAAATGGTATGTTCTGGGCCAGGTGCGGTAGCTCTTGCTGGTAGCCCAGCACTTTGGGAGGCTGAGGCTGGTGGATTGATTGAGCTCAGGAGTTCGAGACCAGCCTGGACAACATGGTGAAATCATGTGTCTACAAAAAAACACAAAAATTAGCCAGGTGTGCCTGTAGTCTCAGCTACTTAGGAGGCTGAGGTGCAAAGTTGGTTTGAGCCTGAGAGGTGGAAGTTGCCTTGAGCCAAGATCACCCTACTGCCCTCTAGCCTAGCTTGAGTGACAGTACTAAACCCTCTCTCAAAATGAATCTGGAGCTTTTCTCACATACTTCATTGTGCCTTTTTAGGGATGTCACTGCATTTTCCCATTTTTTTTTCTTTTTTTTTCCTTTTGAGACAGTCTTACTCTGTTGCCCAGGCTGGAGTGCCGTGGCACGATCTTGGCTCACTGCAACCCCCGACTCCCATGTTCAAGCAATTTTCCTGCCTCAGCCTCCTAAGTATCTGGACTACAGGCGCCTGCCGCCATACCTGGCTAATTTTTTTTTTGTATTTTTTAGTAAAGACAGGGTTTCACTGTGTTAGCCAGGATGGTCTCGCTCTCCTGACCCCATGATCCACCCACCTCGCCCTCCCAAAGTGCTAGGATTACAGGCGTGAGCCACCATACCCGCCCCCCATTTTTCTTAATATCTAAATAGAGAATGGTGATTACTCTGTCTATAAATGTCTAACAGTGCGCAGAGAAGTCACAGTTGTTTCCTTTTGAATTTTTTAGGAAACTCAATTTAAGAATAAGGTTATAGGAGAAAATGACATTACGCTCCACTGTGTTGATCAGATTTATGGAGGTAAGTACCTGTTTTTCCTTGGGATGTTGCCAACCTTTGAGAGTCTAGCTGATACTGATAATATTTTTATGACCATTTATGATTTTCTAAAATTTTCTTACATACATCAATCTTGTTTAAATCTGTTTTATAGGTGCTAAAATTGAGATGTAAAGTGGTTTATATGGGGTTAATTAGCTAGAGGAGCTTGGAGTTGAACTTGGAACCTGTTCTAATACTTCACACAATGCCATTATATGCTAGATGTTGATGAGACTTTTTGATATCAGAGTTCGCTGTGTAGGTTTTACTTTATAAGCTGCTCTGATAAAAAGATCTGTTGTGTTGCATTAGGATATCTTTTCTTCTGACTAAACAAGCCTCTCCTACGAAGCCTCTCTCTGTTCCACTTCTCTATTTTTGCATTCGGGCATCTTCAGAAATCGTTCAGTGATCATTTATGATGTTCTCAAGACTACAAGGTGTTGAGTGTGTCCAAATTCTGGGACAGTGAGGGGGTATCAAGAGGGGTCCTAGCTGTAAACCCAGGAGTTGACTGTCATGAAAGCATGTATCTAGTCATTTCCCTTTCATCTTTTGTAAGCTCAGCTTTCAGAGTGAGTTTTCTTTAGGCCACTGGAGTCAGTTCTGCCAACAGTGGCCAGCCTGTTTGTTCTTGTGCTTACTCCAGAGGAGTGAAGAACTGCTCTCGGAGAACCAGGGCCCCTACTGAAGAGATTGGGCTTCCTTTGACAGTCACTTAAAAGACAGGCAGCACCTTTCCTCTCATTGGGAGGTATCCCTAGAAGTTGAGCATCTACTTTGTTTCTTTAGCATTCACTTATTGCTGTGTAACAGAATTTCTGTTTTAATTGCTGATCTATAGTGTTTGATGAGAAAAAGAAAACTCTCTTTGGACAACTGAAGAAATACCCTGAGAAGCTCATCATCCACTGTAAAGACCTTCGAGTGTTCCAGTTTTGTTTGAGGTACACAAAGGAAGAGGAAGTCAAAAGGGTAACTAGTTGCATGTGTTTTTAGGTTTTATTTCCCATCAGGTTTTCCCTGCTAGCTCTGGTTTTTGCTTACGTTGCATGAAGGTTGAGGGGAGGCTTTCACTCTGTGAACTTGAAATTGGTTGTAATCCCATATTCTTTGATTAGAATGTGAGAGGTAATTTGATAAAGTATGCCTGTGTATCATCTTGGCACATGCTACCTTTAATACTTCAGTTCATAATGTTTTTATTCCCGGAGCCACTAGATGGTGGGAGGTGGTAAACCAGGTCAGGAAGCAGTAGAGGAAAATGAAAGCCAAATCATCAGATGTGCTTTTGGAGACTAAATAAACCTAATCGCCTGGTTGCCACAGCAGGTTGAGATATGCAACTGAGTAAACTCAGAAAGTGGTTGTATCAATTTGATGTTTGTTGTAATTTCCAATATTTTTTTTTTTTTTGAGACCATGTCTCGCTCTGTCACCCAGGCTGAAGTGCAGTTGTATCCAAGATTTCTCTTATTAAGATATTGATCTCAGACTTTTCCCTCTGCTGGTAAATACATCAGAGAAGACCTAGCAGGAGGCCTATTCATGTATATTCTCTTGATTACAGTGAGTTTGCACACTTAGCGGTAACTCTTTAATTTTCTTTAATATAGTGTGGTAGTTCAGTTAGAATAATAAATGTGACTTGTATCTATTTTGAGCAAGAAAAGAATAGTATAGATATAGAAAATTTCCTGAGAAGGCAGAAACTTCAATTTGAACAATGGTTTTAGTCACTTTATCAAATATACTTTTGTTTGACACAGTAGACAAACGGAAAGCATGATAGATTGATTGATTTCCCTTATCTTCTATAAGAAGGTCCTGAAGGCCTCAACAATGGATCAGAACAGCTGGGTCTTGGTTATCATCTGATATCAGCTTTAAGTGTTTGACATGTCAGAGTTTTGTACTATCTGACTTAATATGGCACTAACATTTTTTAGAACTTTGTTTTTGAGAAATTAGACTATGTTTTAAAATTTTCCCCAGAAACAGCGTTCTTAGAAAACCTGACAGATTAGGCTGGGCACAGTGGCTCGTGCCTGTAGTCCAAGTACTTTGAGAGGCCAAGGCGGGTGGATCACCTGAGGTCAGGAGTTCAAGACCAGCTTGACCAACATGGAGAAACCCTGTCTCTACTAAAAATACAAAAAATTAGCTGGGCATGGTGGCACATGCCTGTAATCCCAGCTACTCAGGAGGCTGAGGTAGAAGAATTGCTTGAACCTGGGAGGCAAAAGTTGTAGTGAGCCGAGATCTCGCCGTTGCACTCCAGTGTGGGCAACAAGAGCAAAACTCTGTCTTTAAAAAAAAAAAAAAATGGGCCGGGTACGGTGGCTTATACCTGTAATTCCAGCACTTTGGGAGGCTGAGGCAGGCAGATCACTTGAGGTCAGTAGTTCGAGACCAGCCTGACCAATATGGCGAAACCCTGTCTCTACTAAAAATACAAAGATTAGTCAGGCATGATGGTGCATGCCTGTAATCCCAGGTATTCTAGAGGCTTAAGCAGGAGAACCGCTTGAACCCATGAGGCGGAGGTTGCAGTGAGGCAAGATCGTGCCACTGTACTCCAGCCTGGGCAACAGAGCAAGTCTGTATCAGAAAAAATAAAGATTTAAATAAATAAAATTAGTAAAATTTTCTTTTAAAAGAAAGAAAACCTGACAAAGTGGTTAGCATCCTGTTGATTTGGCATTATTCCAAAAGCTAACGTCATAGATACAGATCTCAAATGAGAATATGTTGTCCATTGAAACCCCTTTGGCATGACTAAGAACCAAGATACCTTGACTCTTGTCTCTCTTGGTGTTTATCTGTCAAAAGTATAACTATATCCATTGGTCAATTCTTTTTTAGATTGTCAGTGGCATAATTCATCATACCCAGGCTCCTAAACTGCTTAAACGATTGTTTCTGTTTTCCTATGCGACTGCTGCACAAAACAATACAGGTAAGTGTCTTCTGGGTTTTAATTTGGTAAGCAGAAGCCTTCCAATTCCCACCTGAAACCAATGGGGGAAAGCCCATCCATGGGCTTTTTTTTTTTTTTCCCTGTCTCCTCTACGAATTGGTCACCCCTTGCTTGAGTGATTCATTCAGATATCTACATTTTCTTTTTCCTGTGATCTTTTTTTTTTTTTTTAAAGGTGGAGTCTCACTTTGTAGCCCAGGCTGGAGTGCAATAGCACGATCTCGGCTCACTGCAACCTACGCCTCCCGGTTCAGTCATTTCTCATGCCTCATCCTCCCAAGTAGCTGGGATTACTGGTGCCCATCACCATGCCCAACTAATTTTTGTATTTTTAGTAGAGATGGGGTTTCTCCATGTTGGCCAGGCTGGTTTCAAACTCCTGACCTCAAAGTGATCTGCCTACCTCCCAAAGTGTTGGGATTACAGGCATGAGCCATTGGGCCAGGCCTCCTGTGATCTTTATTTACCTTCTTTTGGTTTTGTTTGCTTGCTTTTTGCAAGGCATTGTTTAATTGGTTGCATCTTATGAAAGATAAGATCAAGGCCAGATGCAGTGGCTCCTGCTTATAATCTTAGTACTTTGGGAGGCCGAGGTGGGCAGATCATGAGGCCAGGAGATTGAGACCATCCTGGCCAACATGGTGAAACCCAGTATCTACTAAAAATACAAAAAGTAGCTGAGTGTGGTGGCGCCTGCTTGTAATCCCAGCTATTTCAGAGGCTGAGGCAGGAGAATTGCTTGAACCCTGGAGGTGGAGGTTAGAATGAGCCAAGTTCACACCACTGCACAACAGCCTGGCAACAAAGCAAGACTGTATCTCAAAAAAAAAGAAAAAAAGAAAGAAAGATAAGATCAATATATTATAACTAGGAATATGAGACTATAGGGAAACAAAATTGAGAAAAGTTTAAAATAACCATGTTTGTCCCTGGGTTTTCTTCCACTTAAATATAATTGATTTAATGTCATAAGATCGTAGAGAATTTCTTGCATTCTAGAAAGTTTTTAAACAACCAGAGCATGCTTTATAGAAAATATTTTAGGGGAAAGGGGACAGTTATACATAAGAAAAGCACATCCAACAACTAATTTAGTAAGATAAAACTTAAAGTTCTAAATGTTTTTCATTCAGTTTGCTGAAAAAGAGCAATCTTAAGAACAAAACTCTGGTCATCTGAATTAGCCATTAGCAATGCCTACCATTGGACTTTTTTTCACAGACGTCTGTTTATCTTCTCATTCCGTTGCCTCAGTCTTTTCACTTGTTCTGTCAATTATTATTTTTTAATTTTTTTCTGAGATGGAGTCTCATTCTGTCGCCTAGGCTGGAGTGCATTGGCACCATCTCAGCTCACTGCAACCTGCACCTTCCAGGCTCAAGCAGTTCTCCCACCTCACCCTCCTGAGGAACTGGGATTACAGGTTCGTACCACCACGCCCAGCTAATTTTTGTGTTTTTAACAGAGATGGGGTTTCACCATGTTGGCCAAACTGATCTTGAACTCCTGACCTCAGGTGATCCGCCCACCTCAGCCTCCCAAAGTGATGGGTTTACAGGCTGGAGGGCCCATCCATTACTCTTTTTTTTTTTCTTCAAGAAAGACTCTTGCTCTGTTGCCCAGGCTGGAGTGCAGTGGTGCAAATCTCGGCTCACTGCAACCTCCACATCCTAGGTTCAAGCAATTCTCCTGCCTCAGCCTCCTGAGTAGCTGGGATTTACAGGTGTGCGCCACTATGCCCAGCTAATTTTTTTATATTTTTAGTAGAGACAGGGTTTCACCATGTTGGCCAGGATGGTCTCGAACTACTGACCTTGTGATCCACCCACCTTAGCCTCCCAAAGTGTTGGGATTACAGGCGTGAGCCACCGCGCCCAGCCCCCATTACTCTTCATATGAAGTTGATGTTTAGTGATCCTGAGTCCTATGTACTTTTTGTCAGGGAAGTGGCAGTTGTTTTTTTTTTGTTTTTTTTTTTGAGATGGAGTCTCACTCTGTCGCCCAGGCTAGAGTGCAGTGGCGGGATCTCATCTCTGCAACCTGTGCCTCCTGGGTTCAAGCAATTCTCCTGCCTCAGCCTTCCTAGTAGGTAGGATTACAGGTGCATGCCACCAACCCGGCTAATTTTTATATTTTTAGTAAAGAGGGGGTTTCACCATGTTAGCCAGGCTCGTCTTGATCTCCCGACCTCAAGTGATCTGCCTGTCCAGGCCTCCCAAAGTGCTGGGATTACAGGCATGAGCCACCATGCCCAGCCTGGCAGTTTCTTTTAAAAGTACACAGGGCTTTGTCATAAGGCTTTCTGGAAGGAAGAGTTGCTTTGTCACTGTCCATTCATTTAGTAAACATGTTGCTTGCTGTGAGCCAGGCTCTGTGGAGATACGGAGATAAACAGAACTAAATCCCTGCCCTCAAGAAGCGTAAAGTTATATAGGAGAGGAAGCTGAGTGATGTGTCCTCTGATGGAGGCACCCAACCTCTGGGGGAGGGTAGACTATCAGAGGGAGAAGGCTGAGCCTTAGCAGATAGTGGAGCATCTAGTAGGCTTAGAGGAGTATTTTAGTCAGAGGGATTGGCATGTACAGAGATGCAGCTATCTCAGAGACCATGCTGCATTTGGGGAGCTATGGTGAGTTCTTAGAAAAGGTAATTGGTATCTATTTGACCTGTGTTCAAATCCTGGCCTCACTGCTTTCTAGCTGTGTGATCCTGGAGATGACACTTAACTTGAGACCTCTGTTTTCTTATTTTAAAAACAGCAGCATAAGTCTTGTGAGGGTTATAAGTTGTTAATGGATGGCACATAAGGTGCAGTCATTAATTGGGAGTTGAGAGTAAAACTGCATATTATTGAGGACAGATTATGCTCAGAGAATCACACTGACATAAAATACACTTGCCAGTAATATTAGGTTGAACGTAAAATTTGTTCCTTTAATTAATTAAGTTCGTCTTTGTGAATGGCAGATTTTTACTGTAGCTATGTATACAAGTGCTGATTAACTGGGTGCTGACTTAGAGCTTGTGGCAATATGAGATAGACAAATATGACTTGTTGATTACTATAATTTATATAAACATTTATTGAGTGCCCATTTGCAAAATCGTATTCTATTTTCAGGAATTCTGTCGTTTCCTTGTATTCTGATTTTTGTTCTGTACCCAGCATAGGACACTTTCTCAGCCTGCCAACAAATGTGGATCAGCATGCCAAAACCCTTACCTTGATTGACCTTGGTAGTTTCATTACTTTCTGGTGGCTTTTTGTACCAGAGGCCCAGGATATGTATTAATAGCATCTTTTATTCTGATTTAATTCCACTTTTTTACTTCCTTCCAGCCCCCATTTTTTTTGAGAAGTAAAGATTATAACTCGTAGATGCTAATTGATCAATTAGCTTTTTCATTGAGTAGGGGTTTGTAGAGGTGGGTGCTTTGCAATTTGAATACCTTTAATTATTCCCTTATAATTCATATATGTGTTTTGGTTAGAAGTTCCCAAATGCTTATGATATGGTATTTTAGGGACGGACTTGCCTGTATGGCCAGGAAGATGGCCTACTGCGGTGAATGGGAATGTTGTTACTACTTATATCCATGGAAAATTTTTTCTTTTTTTTAGTGAGGTTTGGAAGGGCAGGATTAGAACTTTATGGAAATTTCTTTTATAGTTTCCTGGGTTTGTATCCCAGTTCTGTCATTGCCTAGCTTTGTAACATAGGCAAGTTACTTGACCTTTCTGCAATATATCCGTTAAATAGAGGAAATGATCTTACCTATCATATTAACTATTTTATAGGGTTGTGAGGATTGAGTTAACAAAATGTAATATGCTCAGAACAGCACCAAGTACCTAGTAAGTGTTGTATAAGCACTGACTATTATCATCATCATTATTTTTATTTTTGCTATAATCTGGTTTTATTAAAAGGAGTAGCTGGGGTAGTTTTAGTAAACATATTGTTTTTCCCAGAAGGCTTGGTTTTTTTGTAGATGTGCAAAGACGTGAACTATTTGTGATAGAATTTGTGTAAATACTCAAGATTATTATGGTACATGTGTAAATACCCAGCAAGCAGTGCTGTGGCTTGGGAGAAGATCAGGGACACATCTGTGAGGCTGCAAGAGCAGTGCTCCTGGGCATTTGTCCTAGCAGGTAGTGGCGGAGCTGGGTTGGGGATAGAAGTACGTGCCCATCACCATGATTCAGCCCTTGGCTAGCCTTGGATAGCAGCCCTCTGATCCTCACCATGGCTGTCAGATCTGTTTATGGCCTTCAGGAACCAGTTGTCACACTAGACAAATCCTCTTACAAGCAGTGCATCTTCAAACTGAAGGAGGATTTACAGTGAAGATCCTGAAATGCTATTCAAATTAGTTGGCCGTTTTATGCACACATTGGCAGAGCTAAAAATATTTCATCACTTTAGCATTTGTGCCAAGCCTGTCTTTTAGTGCTTCACATGATCTTTTTGTGTTATATAAATTATCTCATGGCCAGATGACTAAAAATGGAGCTATAAATTACTTTTCCGAGGAATGGAACTCAGTTCTTATAAAAAAACAGAGCCGGCCAGGTGCAATGGCTCACTCCTGTAAACCCAGCACTTTGGGAGGCTGAGACAAGTGGATCACTTGAGGTCAGGAGTTTGAGACCAACCTGGCCAACATGGTGAAACCCCATCTCTACTAAAAATACAAAAAAGCCATATGTGGTGGCACATGCCTATTGTCCCAGCTACTCAGGAGGCTAAGGCAGGAGAATCACTTTAACCTGGGAGGCAGAGGTTGCGGGAGCCAAGATGACACCGCTGCACTCCAGCCTGGGTGACAGAGTGAGACTCTGTTAAAAAAAAAAAAAAAAAAAAAAAAAAAAAAAAAAAACAGAGCTTCAGTCATAATTTTGGATTAATGACAAAAAGTGAAACAAGGTTAGGATTAAGCAGTTAATTAATTCTACTTGGATAAAAATGGGCTTAGTGGAGAGGAAACGAACCTAAGGAGGGACTTTCACATAATGAAAATACCAGTGCTTCATGAAAAGATTTTATTGTCTTTTACATTTTGTTCTCTTAGTCACTGATCCCAAGAACCATACTGTAATGTTTGACTCACTTAAAGACTGGTGTTGGGAACTGGAACGGACCAAAGGCAACATGAAGTACAAAGCAGTGAGTGTCAACGAAGACTATGAAGTCTGTGAGAGGTAAGCTGTCCATGCTGGCATGTACCGTACAGTTCACCCATTGGAAGTGTACAGTGTTTTTCACAGGGTTGTGCAGTCATTACCATAGTCAATTTCGAACATTTTCATCATTCCAGAAAGAAATTCCATACCCATTGGCTGTCACTCCCCATTTTCCCTGAATACCTCTCTGTTCCTCCCCAGCCCTAGACAACCACTAATCTACTTTCTATCTCTATAGTTGTACCTGTTGTGAACATTTCATATAAATGGAATCATATAATATGTGATCTTTTATGACTTGCTTCTTTCACTTAGCATCATGTTTTCAAAGTTCATTTATTTTGCAGCTGTATCAGAATTTCATTATTTGTTATATATAGCACATTTGATTTATCCATCTATTAGTTAATGGACAGTTGGGTTATTTTCACTTTTTGCCTCTTTGAATAATTTTTTTGGCTTTTTGCTTTTATTTTTGTTTGAGACAGGGTCTCACTCTGACACCCATGCTGCATCCTGCTGTAGTGCAGTGGTGCCATCTCGGCTCACTGCAACCTCCGCCTTGGCTCAAGTGATTCTCCTGCCTCAGCCTCCTGAGTAGCTGGGACTACAGGCGTGCACCACCATGCCTGCCTAATTTTTCTACTTTTTGTAGAGATGGGATTACCATCTCTACAAAAGTTCAAAACCAGCCTGGGGTTGCCCTTAAAATGAGTTCTTACGTACTTATTTATTTGTTTATTCATTTTAAGGGTCTTTCTCTGCAACCTCCACTGGGATCACGTGATCCTTGAGCTTCAGCCTCCCGAGTATCTGTGACTACAGGTGTGCACTACCACACCTGGCTAATTTTTGTATTTTTTTGCAGACACTGGGATCTTGCTTTGTTGCCCAGGCTGGTCTCAAACTCCTGGACTTAAATCATCCTCCCACCTCAGGCTCCCAAAGTGCTGGGATTACGGCATGAGCCACTATGCCTGGCCATACTAGGTTTTTAAAGAAATTCCTAAAGTGTCTCTTAAATATTCAAAAATGAATTTGTATTTATTTATTTATTTATTTATTTGAGATGGAGTTTCACTCTTGTTACCCAGGCTGGGGTGCAATGGCGCGATCTCAGCTCACCGCAACCTCCGCCTCCTGGGTTCAGGCAATTCTCCTGCCTCAGCCTCCTGAGTAGGTGGGATTACAGGCATGCGCCACCATGCCCAGCTAATTTTTTGTATTTTTAGTAGAGACGGGGTTTCACCTTGTTGACCAGGATGGTCTTGATCTCTTGACCTCGTGATCCACCCGCCTTGGCCTCCCAAAGCGCTGGGATTACAGGCGTGAGCCACCGCGCCCGACCTGTATCTTTTTATTGTTGTTGCATTATTGTATCTGTAAGTGTAAAACTTTAAAAACCAATATTTTCTTCCCTCTTTCATTGACCACTTCATTTATTCATTGAACAAAAATTTTTGAGTGGTTACCATGTGCTTGGCAGTGTTCTAGCTATTAGAGACGGCAGCAGTCAACAGAGTACCTAAAAACCTCTGCCCTCCTGGAGCTTTCATTCTGGAGGGAGGAAGATGATAGTAAAATAAATAAGTAAATTATAACATGTTAAAAGATAAGTGCTCTGGAGAAAAACGGATCCAGCACGGGGTTTGGGAGTGCTGGAGGTGATGGTGGGGTGTTGGTCAGGAAGGTTTTGCGTGGTGGAAGTAAGTGGCTTGTGAGCATCGTCGTAAAGGAAGTGAAAGATTGAGTTGGAGGATACCCGAGGAAGGAACATTCTTGGTGGAGGGAGGAGTAAGGGCAAAGGCCTGTGTGAGGAACAGCAAGGCACCCAGGGAAAGGGGAGAAGCAAGCCAGGGAGAGAAGTGGGAGATGATGGGCCTGGAGGCTTTGATGGGAGGACAGTGAGAGGGAGGCTGAGCAGAGGCGGATGTGATCTAACCTTTTTATTTTATTTTATTTTTTTAACTGAGTCGCACTTTGTCACCCAGGCTGGAGTACAAGTGGCGTGATCTCGGCTCACTGCAACCTCTGTCTCCTGGGTTCAAGTGATTCTCCTGCCTCAGCCTCTTGAGTAGCTGGGACTACAGGCACATGTCACCATGCCTGGCTAGTTTTTATATTTTTAGTAGAGATGGGGATTCACTGTGTTGGCCAGGCTGGTCTTGAACCCCTGACCTCAAATGATCTGCCCACATTGGCCTCTTAAAGTGGTATTACAGGCGTGAGCCACCGCGCCCGGCCTGACCTACATTTTTAAGGCATGACTCTGCATAATCTGTTTACAGAAACTTGAATCTTATCATTTTGGAACATACTCCCAAACACCCTGCTAACAGATTCATTAAACTTTGTATTTTTGTAGAGCTCTTTGTATCATAGTTCTAATAGGCCTCTTCAGTAATCAGTTTTGATTTTGATCACTCTCAATATTTACAGGGTTACTGCCGCCCCCCTCACCCTGCCTCCGCCCTGCAGCCCCTTCACAGTGTGAGCTGTGGTGACAGTGGGGAGTGACCTGCCAGTGTCCTGACCCCAACTGAGGACCTCATTGTCTACCCCACCCTGTTCTTCCCTCTTTCCTGGTTTTAAAGCTTGAAAGGATAAAGGTTGCTCTTGCTCAGAAAGAAGTTAGAAACCCCTGCTCCTAGGAAATGATAGTTTGTAATAAGATGTTGATACATAAGTTCCCAGAATTGTTTTTTTTTTTTAAATCCTGCCGTATACTAATTAGTTGGTATTTGCATAGGTGTTAGCATGTCAGAAACATACAGGAAAATCTGTGCTTTGTTTACCCTCAGACCACTGTGGTATCTGCTCCATGGTCTCCTCCGTCCACTCTGGTGCCCCAGCATCCATTCTCCATGTAGCATGCCAAGCAGGCTTCTCTACATGCATCTGATAGTACTTGTCCCCAGCTTCAGTGGCTTTCACTGTTCTTGGTATAGAACAGAGCCCTCAACAGGCACTCCCAAGGCCCTTCACGGTTTGACTGCAACTTTGTATCCCACGCCTCTGGCCATACTGACCTCCCTGCCACAAGCCTTGCCTGCAGGCTCCTGTCTGGAAGTACTTTTTGCTTCTAGCTGCACAAGTATAATTAACTCTACTTCGTCAGTCAGATCTTACCCCAGGTACCGCCTCCTTTCTTTCTTTCTTTTATTTATTTATTTTTTTGAGACAGAATCTCATTCTGTCACCCAGGCTGGAGTGTGGTGGTGCAATCTTGGCTCACTGCAACCTCCACCTCCCGGGTTCAAGTGATTCTCCTGCCTTGGCCCCCCGAGGAGCTAGGATTACAGGTGTGTGCCACCACATATGGCTAATTTTTGTATTTTTAGTAGAGATGGGGCTTCACCATGTTAGCCAGGCTGGTCTTGAACTCCTGACCTCGTGATCCGCCTGTCTCAGCCTCCCAAAGTGCTGGGATTACAGGTGTGAGCCACCACACCCGGCCCCAGATACTGCTTTCTTTGGAAGCTTTCCAAGACTAAGTCAAGTGTCATTGTGAGATTTTTCATTGCACTGTTTGCTCCTCTTCGTAGCACTTCCTGCAATGCCAAGTTCGTTGTTATTTGTATCATCATTTGGCTAATGTGAGTTTCCACAACCTACAGCTCTGTGAAGTTAAAGGATGCTGTTTTTACCCATTGTTATATCCTCAGTACCAAGCATGGTGGCTGGCTTCTAAGAGGTGCTCAATAAATAGGAGAAAGAAGGAAAAGCCCCATTTGTATTTAGAGGGAGGCCTATAGTCAGTTTGGGTAAGAATAAGGAACACCTTCCCACAAAGTCAGAGCTGGCTATTCTGGTACTACAGGTCTCTTCTTTCTCTTTTTCATTCTCCTAAAAAACCTTTCTCTCATTCCACTTTCCTGTAAACACATAGGATGGTATGTGGCCCCGTAGAGTGTACCACACAGAGGGACCTAGTTGCTGATGCTGGCACAGGAAGACATTGCTGTTCCAGGGGGTTGTGCCTCAGTAGATATACAAGTTTCATGAGTAAAGTCAACCTGTTTTTGCAGGGGCTGTTTACTTTGTATTCTAAACTCATCAACTAAAATGACTGCTTCCCAAGGAAAGAGGATTAATTGCTTGTATCCAATGGGAATCTCATAGCGGGAACTCCATGGAATCCACCTAGAATTAAGTGGTCAGGAGAGGACACCCTCCACACCCCTCACTGACTTCAGTGTTGGTCTCTGTACAACCTTCTCTGCTGGGTGATGGATGGGATATTTGCCAATACATTTGACTTTTTTTTTTTTTTTTTGGTGAAAGACTTATCTATAAGAAAAGTAATTAACCAGTCAACTAACAGTGTAAAATATTCAACCTCACTAGTTGGGGAAGACATGGAAATTTTTTTTTTTTTTTTTTTTTTTTTTTTTTGAGACGGAGTTTCACTCATGTTACCCAGGCTGGAGTGCAATGGCGCGATCTCGGCTCACTGCAACCTCCGCCTCCTAGGTTCAGGCAATTCTCCTGCCTCAGCCTCCTGAGTAGCTGGGATTACAGGCACGCGCCACCATGCCCAGCTAATTTTTTTGTATTTTTAGTAGAGACGGGGTTTCACCATGTTGACCAGGATGGTCTTGATCTCTTGACCTCGTGATCCACCCGCCTCGGCCTCCCAAAGTGCTGGGATTACAGGCTTGAGCCACCGCGCCCGGCAGACATGGAAATTTTTTAAAACCACAAGGCCCCAGTCCAGCTTTGTAGCATGTGCCACTGAGGAAGGAGCTCAGGATCTGATTTAAACAACTCCACAGATGACTGTCCTAAAAAGGTTGAGAAACAGTGACCTGTTTTAAGTTACCATCTAGAGCAGTGGATCTCTGTTTAATGTGTGTCTGATCACTGGGGGCTCTTGTCTAATAATCAGAATTTGGCTCAGTAGGTTGGGGGAGGCTGGAGCGTCTGCAGTCAACAGCTTCCAGGTCATGCTGCTGCACACTCTGTGTAGCAGGATCTTCTGGAACAACAGTGTTCATTCCAACTGCTTACCTAGAGAGCTTTTTAATAGTTCTTGATTTAATAGTTCTTGGATGGAGCCTGGCACTGGTAATCTTTTAATCTTTACACTTTATTTGAATGAGCAGCCTGAGTTTAAGAGAGCAGTTGATCTGTGGAGAGGTTTTTACTTCAGCAACTGTACCTGAAAAAGGGATGCCTTACCAGTTACCCATTCAGGCAGACTTAGAAGAAAATATTTCAAGTACTTCAAAACTTCAAAAGGCAAACACTCTTCACAGTTTTGATGGTTTGAAGTATCTTTGTGACCAGTAGTTCCCAGACCTGGCTTTCCATCACAATCTTACTGGAACTCTTTTCTTCATGAATTACTTTTAAGATTTTTTTGCTTTTGGATTTTTTTTTTTTTTTTTTTGAGACAGGGTCTCACTCTGTCACCCAGGCTGGAGTGCAGTGGCACAATCTCTGTTCACTGCAACCTCAGCCCACTAGGCCCAAGTGATTCTGTTGCCTCAGTCTCCTGAGTAGCTGGGACCATAGGTGCGAACCACTATGCTCAGCTCAATTTGTTGTATTTTTCATAGTGAGAGGGTTTTGCCATGTTGCCCAGGCTGGTCTTGAACTCCTGAACTCAGGCAATCCACCTGCCTGGGCCTCATCCTGCTGGGATTACAATGTGAGCTACCATGCCCAGCTTGTTTTCTGTTTGTTTATTTCTTGAGATGGATTCTTGCTCTGTCGTCCAGGCTAGAGTGCAGTGGCGCAATCTTGGCTCACTGTAACCTCTGCCTCCCGAGTTCAAATGATTCTCCTGCCTCAGCCTTCTGAGTAGCTGGGATTACAGGTGCCTGCCAATGTGCCTGGCTAATTTTTGTATTTTTAATAGAAATGGGGTTTCACCATCTTGGCCTGGCTGGTCTCGAATTCCTGACCTCATGATCCACCCACCTTGGCCTCCCAAAGTGCTGGGATTACAGGTGTGAGCCACCATGCCTGGCCCAAGTTGTTTTTTTTTTTAATGAAAAATTTTAAGCAGTATAAAAGGAAAGAAGATACGATGAATTCCTATTACCTTAAATTACCCAGACTCAACAGTTATCAACTGATGGCCAATTCTGTTTTCTCTGTACCCCCACCTACTTCACCCTCTCTTGGATTATCTTGTTTTAATTTTAATTTTTTAAAGACAGGGTCACCCAAGCTTAAGTGCAGTGGCACTGTGATGGCTCATTGCAGCCTTGAACTCCTAGAAGCTCAAGTGATCCTCCCGAGTAGCTGGGACTACAGGTGTGTGCCACCACACCCAGCTATTTTATTTTTTTATTTTTATTTTTTGTGGCGATGGGGTCTCACTATGTTGCCAAGGCTAGTCTAAAGCTCCTGGACTCAAGCAGTCCTCCCACCTTGACCCTGCAAAGTGTTGGAATTATAGGCCACCATGCCCAGCCAGGATTATTTTGCAATAAATTCTAGAGTTTGTGACATTTCATTCACAAATGTTTCAGGTGGCTCAAGCCTGTAATCCCAGCACTTTGGGAGGCCGAGGCGGGTGGATCACGAGGTCAAGAGATCGAGACCATCCTGGTCAACATGGTGAAACCCTGTCCCTACTAAAAATATAAAAAATTAGCTGGGCGTGGTGGAGTGTGCCTGTAATCTCAGCTACTCAGGAGGCTGAGGCAGGAGAATTGCCTGAACCCAGGAGGCGGAGGCTGTGGTGAACCAAGATCGTGCCATTGCACTCCAGCCTGGGTAACAAGAGTGAAACTCCATCTCAAAAAAAGAATTAAGGACTCTTTATAAATATAACCATAAGACCATTATCACACCTTTCAAATTTCTTATTAATTCTTTAATATCCAGTTACAGGCTGGGTGTGGTGGCTCATGCCTGTAATCCCAGCACTTTGGGAGGCCAAGGCAAGTGGATCACAAGATCAAGAGTTCGAGACCAGCCTGGCCAATATGGTGAAACCACATTTCTACTAAAAATACAAAAATTAGCCGGATGTGGTGGTACATACCTATAGTCCCAGCTGCTCAGGAGGCTGAGGCAGGAGAATCACTTGAATCTAGGAGGCAGGGGTTGCAGTGAGCCAAGATCATGCCACTGCACTCCAGCCTGGGCGAAAGAGCAAGACTCCATCTCAAAAAAAAAAAAAAAAAAAGAAAATCCAGTTACAGTTCAGATTTTCCCCAGTATCTTATGAATTTTTAAACCGTTTTCTCTGTCATCTTTTTAATCTGTTTTTTTTAAGTAGTCAAGATTCAGTGAGATTGATAGGTTTCTTAAATTGCTTCATCTGTAGATTCTCAAGCCAACATATTTTTCTTGCAATGTGTTGCAGAAACTTGACTGATAGTTTTCCACAGTCTGGGTTTTAATGATCACACCCCCATGGTGATATTTATTTGTTGCTCCATCTCCTATGAATTTATTACATCACTCATGCATCATGCATTCAAACGCCATGCAAATACAAATTTTCCATTGTAACTTAACACCATAAGCACCTTATTGCTTGTGAGGCTTTATTTCAAGCCTCTTTCTTTATTTCTTTCCCTCTTTGAGGGAAAGATATTTACAGATGCTTATAGATTCACAGTGATGGAAACTTAGGCAATTTTCTTATTAACAGAAACCTACATCTGCTACCTAAGAGATGATGTCCCCTTGTAACTTTGATCTCTGAGACTCTGAAACCCAATTCTACCATGTCCTACTACTTAACAAGTTTGTTCTTTTTAGAGACTAAATTTTCTCTGTAGACATTGAAGTCCCACTGCTTGGGTTCAGGTCCCAGCTGTACTGTATGCTAACTAGTTGTATACCCAGGGAAGAGTCTTAGCAGCATTGTGTCTCAGTTTCTTTATCTGTAAGATGGAAATAATATTACGTATCTCATAGAATTCTTGGGAGGATTATATGGATAAATAAGGTTAAGTACTTATTAACAAGTATATTAAATAAGAAATGTTAAGTAATTAGAACAGTGGTTGTCACACAGTAACACTTAAATGTTCTTGTCAGAGCACTTGATAAAATATCTGGGCAGCAGTCATCATAATTAATGTTTTTCCTGTTAGTTTAACTGAAAACAACACAGATGCTTATATGGTTACTAAATGGTGAGAACAATACTCCCAATTTCAGAGTTCTATGCTTTTAGGTATCATATTTTCCTATCCCCTCATTTCTGAAAGAGGAAACAGACCCAGAGAGGTAGAATAACTTACGTAGGGTTGTACAGAATCATGGGCATAGCTACAGTTTGAACTTAGATTCCCAGATGATTTATCACACGGAGAGCAGCAGTTCCTCTGAGCTGATTCTCAACAGGGAAATATGGTCCCTTCTGCTTAACACTCTACTTGTATTCATTGAAGTTGAGCTTTTGTATTTTGTGAATTAACAGATGACATTTCTTTCTTCTAGATTGCCAGCATACTTTGTTGTCCCCACCCCTCTTCCTGAAGAGAATGTACAGCGTTTTCAGGGTCACGGCATACCAGTAAGTGCATCTGGGAACCCTAAGAGGTGTCGGTCATGCATTGGTCTATCCTGGCAAGAGGATCCTACTGAAAGCCATTGGCTTTGGTTCTAGAGTTTGTTTTCAATCTAAGAGCAATCCGAAAATATCTTAGGGACTCCCTAGAGGAGTCTCTTAAATGTGATTGGGACAGAGATCTAAAGTTTTCACAAATGCACTTGAGTTTTTTAGCAGAGACATTAACAGAGCTTTAAGAGGATCATAGATCTGTCTGGTGTTGAAAGCAAGCCTGCTTTAACACCTAAATCATTTTGAACCTGAGCTAAACCATGCCAAGGGTAGTAGGTTTTAAGCTGCTTTTTGGCCTACACTATTAATCTTTGTATGGGCATGGTGCTGTTTTCTCCCAGAGACAACATGGAGTGCTTCTTAGTTTTCACAGAATAGAGTGGGATTGGAGCCATATTTAATATGTCACTGATCAAAGAAAGCAAGACTGGCAGTTACTCCAGTTTCTAATTGGTGGTTGGGAATTGCCAGGCCTGCAGGGTATTTAGTAAGGAATGAGAATTATAAATAAGTGCTATGCTGCATGCACAGCTGGTTCACTGAAAGGGTCACTCCCATATGGGTGGAGGTGTGGTTAAGCAGGGGTCAAATGCCCAGAAGCCCATGGAGGCCAAGCAGGTAATGAGTATGACCTTACAGTGAACGAGAGACCCTTAGCCTGGTCTACGGGAACATCTCTTCAGTGCTAGCCAGTATGTGCCACATGGGAGTACGAGCCAAGTGTTGCAGATGTCCTGATTTTTCAGGAGAAGCCATAGATACAGATTTTAATTGTTTTGACTTTGGTTTTTTTTTTTTTTTTAGATGGAGTTTTGCTCTTGTTGCCCAGGCTGGAGTGCAATGGCTCAGTCTCTGCTCGCTGCAGCCTCTGTCTCCCGAGTTCAAGCAATAATCCTACCTCAGCCTCCCAAGTAGCTGGGATTACAGGCGCCCACCACCAGGCCTGGCTAACTTTTTTTTCCAAGACAGAGTTTTGCCCTTGTTGCCCAGGCTAAAGTGCAGTGGCGCAATCTCAGCTCACTGCATTCTCCACCTCCTGGGTTCAAGCGATTCTCCTGCCTCAGCTTCCTGAGTAGCTGGGATTACAGGTGTTCACCACCACACCTGGCTAATTTTTATATTTTTAATAGAGACGAGGTTTTACCCTGTTGTGTAGGCTGGTCTTGAACTCCTCGCCTCGTGACCTGCCTTCCTCAGCCTCCCAAAGTGCTGGGATTACTGGCGTGAGCCACTGTGCCCAGGCCTAATTGTTTGTGTTTTTAGCAGAGATGGGAGTTTCACCATGTTAGCCAGGCTGGTCTCAAACTCCTGGCCTCAGGTGATCTGCCCACCTTGACCTACCAAAGTATTGGGATTACAGGCATGAGCCACTACACCTGGCCTAGATACATACTTTTATGTGAGTTTTCCTGATTTCTAAATATATGTCACTGTTTCAGATGTTTAAAAGCATGTTTTTGGGCCAGAGTTGGACACAATGAACAAAATCCATAATTTTTAGTTCTTTATTAAGCACATTCTCAAGTGAAACATTTTTTTTTTTCTGCTGGTGTAGCAGTGAAGAATACAGTGAGCATCAGTACAGCTGAGTGGTCCTGCCCTGATTGGTACTGTCACCAGCAGTTTTACCAGCACTGCTTTTGTTCCATCTGTCTTGGGATTATTATGAAAATAGCTGTGGCCTCTCCAGCTACCTGAAAGGATCTTGAGACTTCCCAGGGTAGTGTATACTACACTTTGAAAACGGATGCTTTAGAGGAATGAAAATGAAGGTCTCTCAGTCTTTCATAGAGGGATCTAGAAAAGAGGGTATGCTCTGTGGGAAGAAACAGAGATGAACTGTTCACATATGTAGGAACAGGCTACTTCCGTATCCATGCAGTGTATGAAATGTAGATACTCTGTATTCTAGCCAGGCCTTGGGCCTGAGAACTAGCAGATGCTGTAGTAAGATTTGAGTGAGGAGCCTGAGGCATTACTTTGATAGAAGCTGTGGAAAATGCAGGGCGTAGTGGCTCATGCCTATCATGCCAGCACTTTGGGAGGCTGAGACAGGCAGATCGCTTGAACCCAGGAGTTTCAGACCAGCATGGCCAACATGGTGAAACTCCATTTCCACTAAAAAAATTTTAAAAATTAGCCTGGTATGGTGGTGCATGCCCATAGTCCCAGCTACTCTGGAGGCTGAGGTGGGAGGATCCCTTGAGCCAGGAGTTGGAAGCTGCAGTGAACTGGGATCGCGCCACTGCACTCTAGCCTGAGCAACAGAGTAAGTCCGCCTCGAAGAGAAAAGAAAGCTGTGAGAAGGTGTTCTCACTTCATTAGATCTTCCTGTATTTATAAGTCCTAAAAGTTACAGTGGAGTTTGTGTGAATGGACAGCAAAAAAGTATTACACAAGATGGAATTATACATCACCCCAGGAAACATAGAGCCCTCAATCTTTTTCTCTCTTTCTCCCTCTCTTTTCTTTTAACATAAAATTTTCATTTGACTGGAACATTAAGATCACCAGAAATGGTCTTAAGTAAATTAAAAGGTAATTTATTTTATATTTGGAATTGGTGAAATTATGTACCTTAACCTAGAGTACCCAATCCTTTTAAATGTACCCAGTACCACTATAGCCTCTTGTTTTTAGTTTTGTTTAAGACAGGGTTTCTCAACCTAGACACTATGGACATTTTAGGCCAGATAATTCTTTGTTGTAGAGGCTGTTATGGTAGAATATGTAACATCAGCAATGCCAGTAGCACTCCCTGAGGTGCCAGTAACACCCCTATCCCGTGAGTTGTGACAACCAACAAATATGTCAAGACATTGCCAAATATCCTCTCGTGGGTGGGGTGCCAGGCACAAAATGCAGGTCGAAAACCCCTGCTTTAGGTGATCTGGACTGTTTTCTGTTTAGCATATGTGTCCTCTGACTCTTAAGAGACTGACAGAAAATGTGACAACTAGGCGACATAAAGTGTCCATAAGCCCGTCTCTGGCCACATCTTTGCCTTGTCCTTCTTTCTGTCATTCCTATTGAACCTACTCATGTTTACACTTATTCTCCATGCTTATTTTCGTTGTTAAGCCGGTAAGAACATCAAACTATTTTCTCTTAAACCAGATATTTAAGAGATTTGCAAAAATATGAAACAATGCCATTTATCTTCCTGTATGTTTTTGGGTGGAAAATATTTACAGTAATAGGTAATTGGTAATTACTGTTTAAAATGAATTAATATTTTAAAAGTTTTTCAGTTTTAATTTCTAATGTGGTAAATATCAATAGCTATAGCTCATATGGATGCAAGTTCTTCAGGGTCCTCAATAATTTTTAAGAACATTAAAGAGTCTAAGACCAAAAAGTTTGAGGCCCGCTGATCTTCCAGATTGCATGTACATGCATTTTCTCTAGGACCTGGCATAGAAGCACCCAAATCAATAGTAACAGGTAATTTGCAGTAGGCGCATAGGAAGCTAAGATTAAAGAGATAATTGGGGGCTAGATTATGAATAATTGTTCTTTCATTTCATTCGTTTCATGTCAATCTTTAAAAATTGTGGTAAAATACACATAACATAAAATTTCCCGTTAGTGACATTTAGCACATTCACAATGTTGTGCAACCATTACCACAGTCTGTTCCAGAACATTTCCATGTCTCCATGCTGTTTACGCTGGCTTTTCACCCAGTCTTTTCTCTCCTGCCTTCACTTATTTTCAGGGAAGACCTGTGTAATCGGTCAGTTCATACATGTCCTTGCCACTATTCTGAAGGCTTTGGCTGCTGTTCTTCAACCCTGAGTATCTTTTTCTTTTTCCTCCGGGGCAAATGAACATTGCTATGGATTATTGAAACTAAACAGCAAACTGTACTTAACGGGACCCATGAAAACCGTCGGTGCCTTGCCTCAGCTGGGCCTTCCTCCCACCCAGCCGTATTCTATTTAACGTATTCCTTTTGGTTCCTATGACATTGTTCTCTGGGTGAACAGGTTTTCATCCTACAAGTTTTTTGTATCATTCTTAACTCTCAGTGACGACCTTTCCCCTAGTCCCGCAGGATCCAGAACAGCGACAAGAACTCCCTCAGCTTCCCTCTTCTCAGCCTCCTGTTGTTTCTCTCTGGGCTCCCGTTTCTTTCATACATAATCTGGATCTCTGTCTGGGCTCTTGATTGCCTTGTTTGGAGCCCAGTTCCATGGGCCTTCCCTCTTCCATGGCTGCCTTTCCCAAGTCTATTCTGCTCTGTCTGTTCTTGAAGGCATCCTTATGTCTCCCTTAACCTGAGGCACTTGCTTAGTTGTCAAGCAGCTATCTTGTTCTGCCTTGTACTGCCAAGCATATTTAAAGAGTCTATACTTATTTTCTCTACTCATTTCTTGTTGCAGCATGACTTCTACTCCCCACATACTGTGGACATTTCCCACGCAGAAGTCCTTAAGCCCTGTGCAGCCCCACTTCCCCACATCACTGCAGTTTTTATTTTTTGTTTTTTGTTTTTTTATACCAGCCATACCATTAGCACACAGCACTGCAGTTTTTGACTGTGATTACATTGTCTTTTAAGTTCCTGTCCTGGCTTTGGAAACACTATACTCCCTTGGCCTGCTGACCTCCTTCACGGTCCTTTCCTGCTTCCTTACACTGCCTTCTGCCCCAGATTGTAGATGTTCTCTTAAAGCTGTTTTTGACTCTATTAAGAGAGGGACCTTAAAATGTACCAAATAATGAGTAATCCTTTTTTTAAAAAAAAAAATTAACAAACTGTGATTCTTGCCTATGAAGTCATACTAAGAATTCTGGCCCTCATAGTTCCCAGAGAGCAATTGCAGCAGTAGAAGACTTTTTGCTCACTTTCTGTGAGAAGGCTCTCTGACCAGGAACTTTGCTTGTTTCTGTTTACTGTTTCACACAGAGAATTGTAAGGGAGTTGGCCCTTCACGCCTCAGGTGAGGTGAGACAGTTATGATTGGAAGTTACTACATGTGCCCCAGATGGAAAATGAGTTATGGTTGGATATCACCAAGGGACTATGCCTTCTGCCCCTTCTGCTCCAGAAGAGGAGATAAAAAGGGCTAAGAACGCTTAGTTTCTTAGAACTCACCATCCAGTCATGGCTAAGAGTATCTCCCCCCTTATCCAAGTGAGCTGTGCCAACTAAGGGGGCACAATTTCCTGGGCACCAAAATTTTACCACCTTTGGCAGAGAGCTGAAAACTACGTGGTGGTTACTGCACACCACTTAGCATGGCATTGAAAAGGGAATACAAGAACAGCATAGGGCCCTTTGATTATCTCAGTGTTTAACACTTCCGCCTCATCATGAATCTTAAAGTATGGCTTGGCCCCAAGAGAGGAGTTGTTGCTGTTTTCAGCAGTTCTAACGCAATTCTGTGTTGCTCTGTCCTTCCTCTCTGTGTGGGCTCATCTCCCCCACTGCAGCAGGCCATCAACTCCCATGTCTAGAGCTCCAGACCTGCTTTCCTCTCATTTGAGGGGCCTCCTGAATATCTCCACGTGGATGTCCTGTTGGTACTAGACACCCAATATACCCAGTGCTGATTCCGTTATCTTCCCCAGAAATCCCAAACCAGTTCCCCGTGTGATTTTCTAAGTGCAATGCACAATATCACCTGGATTGTCGTGCTGATCTCTGACTCTCGGTCTAGGCTACTGCTAGCATATCCAATGTATGGTTTACACCTGGCAGATGAGTGTCAAAAAGGTGCCCCCTCTCGGCAGCTGAAGTATAAAAGGTCTTTCTTTCCTCCAGGTTTATCTTTGATCCCAGGCCAATGGCTTGGCCAGCACAGCAAGGTCTGGACCTTAGCCAGCCTCAAGCACTTATGCAGGGCTCAAAGTCCACAGCTGTACTCACCGTCCAACCAGTCTGTCTCTCTCCTCCATTCTAGGCTCCACTGGCAGGTTACTTGGCCCCAAGGTCAGTTCTAATCTACCTTTGTTCCTGAAAAACAAATAAACAAAACCCCCCACCGTATCCCAAAAAAAGCCTGAACTCCTTAACCTGTTGCCAAGGCAGAAAAAAGCATAAACAGCCTGGCTCGCCACTTATGTCACTCATGTGACTTCTTTCTGCTTCCCCTTTTTTTGTTGTTCCTTGAAATTTCTTTCTTCTGTTATATAATACATTCTACCTTCTTTTATATTCCTAAGCTTATTTCCCTTTTGAAACTTGAACCTCTGAAGGTAGACACAGTATCTTAGTATCTTTTTGCCCTCTCACAACCTAACGAGGTACGTTCCATGTCACAAGCCTTGCATTCAGTTATGTCAAATAGGTGACATACCTTTCTTCCGAGTGTGGATTTTCTCTCATGAGACTTGCCCACTTTTTGCCATCCATATACAACACAGCCTTTAGAGTCACACTGCTGCTACTTTCTGTACAACTTGGGAAAGTCCTTCAGTCTCTTCAAGCCTCAGTTTCTTGCTGTTAAGGGGAATAAAGAATCATACCTATCACAGGGAGTTACCATAACAATTAAATGAGTTAATTCCTGACATGTAATACACTGCACTTGAATGATAGCTACTATCCTAATAATAATAATGTTGTTGGCTGGGCACAGTGGCTCACGCCTGTAATCCCAGCACTTTGGGAGGCCATGGTGGGCGGATTGCCTGAGTTCAGGAGTTTGCAACCAGCCTGGGCAACACGGTGAAACCCTATCTCTACTAAAATGCAAAAAATTAGCTGGGCATGGCAGCATGTGCCTGTAGTTGCAGCTGCTCAGGAGGCTGAGGCAGGAGAATTGCTTGAACCCAGGAAGCAGAGGTTGCAGTCAGCAGAGATCACACCACTGCACTCCAGCCTGGGTGAAAGAGTGAGACTCTGTCTCAAATAAATAAATAAATAATAATAAAATAATACTATTGTTATCATCTGGTTATCAAATGCAGATGATAAGTCAAAAGGTATATGTTAGACCGTAAGTCTGTGTCTGACTACCTAGACCTGTTTATTTTTTAAAACTAAATCATGTTTTTCCATTGTGACTAAATACTCCCAGGCTTAATAAAGTTGAGTATGTCCAGCCATTTCATACTGAAGTTACAAATTTCCATGTATGCATTTAAATGCTAAGCGTGTGTGTCCCCTGTTGGGTTGTGTTTATTATATCTGGTAAATCTTTATTTCTTTCTGCAGATATGGTGTTGGTCCTGCCACAATGGAAGTGCCCTTTTGAAAATGTCAGCACTACCCAAAGAACAGGATGATGGCATTTTACAAATCCAAAAGAGCTTCTTAGATAGGTCAGTACTAGTAGTTCTATATTTTGTTCTTATTCAGTTTTTTTTTCCAAGAAGCAGGGAACAGCTCTTAGTAGTATGTGTATTTCTGTTTACCTACTCTTAGCTTAGTGCTAGGGAAATGTAATTTATAGTGATTGTTTTGAGTTAATTTGAAAGGAGTCAGTATAACACCTGCATGGATGTCACCTGCATTGTTTTTAGAGGTGCATGCTAAAGTCTTCAGCAGGGAGGTGACATGATGTCTGTAATGTTAACAGTTGTCAAATTTAGGTCATGGTACATGTCACTGTACTATTCTACTTTCTGCATGTTTCAAATTTTTTTTAAAAAGTAGATGAATTTAAAATTAAAAAAAAAAGGAATAGACTCAGAGTCACATTGCCTTGGTCCAAATCATGGCTCTCTCAGTTTATAAATTGTATGATATTGGGTCAGGCAGTTTTACTCTGTGCACCTCCATTTCCACCCCTGTTGACCGGGAACAGGAGTCCCAGACAATTGCCTGGTAGGTGAAGTTTAAATTGGAGAATGCCTACCGAGCCCTTAACACAGATCATGGCAAATTGTAAATCTTCAGGCAAAATTAGTGTTTGCTCTTCTAATCTCTATTCCTTTTTGGTACCTAGAATTTACAAGACCATCCACAGGCCACCCTATGAAATTGTTAAAACTGAAGACCTGTCAAGCAACTTCCTATCCCTGCAGGAAATCCAGACTGCATACTCTAAGTTTAAACAGCTGTTTCTGATAGGTGAGAAGAACACTGAGCAAAAACTTTGTGTCAGATGGGGAAAGTCATGCCGTACAGATCAGGTGACAGTCGTTGCCTTTTTTTCTGGCTTCCTTACCATAGCACGCAGAGCCCAGGGCTGTGATGTCATGGAGCCGGGGGTCTGGCTGCCATCACTACACTTCCCTCTCCATCTCTCTCCAGGCTTCCCCCCGCCTCCTTATTGTGGCAGTGATCACACAGCCACCCTTCTCTTCTCCCCTTTCCTCAACATACCAGTTGTCCAGTGGTGAGCATTTTGATTTCTTCCTTTAAAAGTTTTTGAACTATGTAGTATTTATATTTGTTGACTTACAGTGATTTATAACATGAATGATGTTCGTTTTCTTCAGTAGACTTTTTCCCAAAGTGGAAATACTTTGTTTTTCCCATGATTGGGAATATACAGTTTCTAACAATATTAAAAGTTTTATCAGAAATGTGTAAGGCAGAAAATGAAACATGCCAGTCCCGGCTACCCCAGTGTTCCTGCCCAGGCTGCCTACTGGTGGTTCATGTTTAACTCTGCCCAGTCACTCATTGATTCTCTTCATTCTGGAATGAGTCTTTATGCTCCGAGATTTGTCATGCCTGTAGGTAACTTTTCCTCACTTGGACATTTTTTTTTTTTTTTTTTTGAGACAGGGTCTCACCTCTGTCATCCAGACTGGAGTGCAGTGGCATGATCACAACTCAATGCAATCTTAAAACTCGCAGGCTTAAGTGATCCTCCCACCTCTGCCTCCCAAGTAGCTGGGATTACAGGCATACGCCCCCTCACCCGGCTAATTTTTGTATTTTTTTGTAGCGACAGAGTCCCATAATGTTGCCCAGACTGATCTTGAATTCTAAGGCTCAAGCGATCCTCCCACTTTGGCCTCGCAAAGTGCTGGGATTATAGGCGTGAGTCACTGCCTGAACTAACTTGGACTTTTTAGCCTAGCAAATTCTTAACTATTTTAGGATTCGTTCAGTGACATTTATTGAGCTTCCATTGTACAAGGGGTCTTCAGAAAGTTCATGGAAAATGTATATTATACAAAAACTATGCATGAATTTCAAAACTTTTTTACCCAAAATAATTCATATTAACTTATAACATGCCTGAGCAGGATCTGGTCTAAAGAGCTAAGAAGGGTAAGATATTAGTTTGAAAACAGTTCCTATCAGAGCAACACAAATTCTGCTAAAATTGAAGCAAAAACAAATATTGAATTTACGGTGAAGCTTGGATGGAGGAATGGTGAAATTATTGATGCTTCACAAGAGTTTATGGGGATAATGCCCCAAAGAAATCAGCAGTTTACAAATGGACAACTCATTTTTAAGAAGGAGCAGATGATGTCAAAGATGAAGCCTGCAGCGGCAAACTGTCCACATCAGTTCGCAAGGAAAAAATTTATCTTTTTTCTGCCTTAATTGAAGAGGACCGACAGCAGAAGAAACAATCGTCAACTCCATAGACATCTCAGATGGTTCAGCTTACACAATTCTGACTGAAGAGTTAAAGTTGAGCAAACCTACTCGCCGGGCACAGTGGCTCATGCCTGCAATTCCAGCACTTTGGTAGGCTGAGACAGGCGGATCACTTGAGTTCAGGAGTTTGAGACCAGCCTGGCCAACATGGTGAAACCTTATCTCTACTAAAAATACAAAAGTTAGCCGGGCATGGTGGCAGGTGCCTGTAATCGCAGCTACTCCAGGGGGCTGAGGCAGGACAGTGAATCAGGGGTTACAGTCAGCCAAGATCATGCCATTGCACTCCAGCCTGGGTGACAAGAGTGAGACTCCATCTCAAAAAATAAATAAAATGTGTGTGTGTGTGTGTGTGTGTGTGTGTGTGTGTGTGTGTATCCTTAAAGGGAACCCTTTTTTTTTTTCCAGTTAATAATGTAAAATAGACTGCAATGACATGGTTAAATTCCCAGGACCCTCAGTTCTTTAGGGGTGAACTAAATGGCTGGTATCATCTCTTATGAGAGTGTCTTAAACTTGATGGAGCTTATGTTGAGAAATAAAGTTTATATTTTTTATTTTCATCTTTTGATTCCATGTTTTCACATACTTTTAAAGTCCCTTGTATATACTAACTATGCTGGCATTGGTGATAAAGAGGAATGTAACACCAAGGGCTTATACCCTTGCAGGGGAAACAGCAATGTATGACTCTAACTCAAACTAAAACATTACAATACATGTTTACTGTTTAATAAAGGACACTCATTCTAGTTTTATTTCAATCACTCAGGACTTCCAGGGATATCTGCCTTTTCTTAATTTGAGTTTGCAACTTTTTTTTCATTTTTTAGAAACAGGGTCTTTCTCTGTTGCCAAGGATGGGGTGCAGTGGCACCATCATTGCTCACTGCAACCTCAAACTCCTGGCCTCAAGTGATCTTCCTGCCTCAGCCTCCCCAAGTGTTGGGATTATAGACATGAGCCACAGCACCCAGCATGAGTTTGCAACTTTTAAATACGTTGGATTTCTGTAAGATTTAAGGTTCTCTGTTTTATAAGGCATGTAGCGGGGAGCCATGTCATGGTATACTGGGTGTAGGAACTTGTGCATTGAGATTCTAATGAAAATCAAGTCTGACCCTTAGGCTTTCATGGCATCAGGATATAGCAGCCTGGATGTCAACTATTTCTGCCCTAAAGCATGTTACTCTCTGTCGCCTTGTAGGATGAACCATGGCTTTGTGTATGCATTGTAGGAATTTCTTATTTCAGCAATAAAGATCTCTTTTTGATTACTACAACCTTCTAGAGACCTACAGCACAAAAACCATTTCAGCTAAAGTTTTGAAATGGCCCTAAAGTCCTGTGCCTGCATTCTGCAGTTTGAGTCTGGACTGTTAATCTGAATGATACAGTTGAGTAACACAGGATTTCTGTGGCAAGTATTTCAGTGAACAATGACCTGATGTCTTTACTCCTTTTTCTTTTTTCAGATAACAGTACTGAATTTTGGGACACAGATATAAAATGGTTTTCTCTGTTGGAAAGTAGCAGCTGGCTTGACATAATCAGGTATTTCAAACCATTGTTTTACTCATGAATTTTACAGTTGTCTAACTCAGGGTAGTAGATCAAACTGACAAATAATGTAATTGTTTGATGTTTCACAGTTAAATATTCTTAGATACATGTTCTCTTCAGGGCTCAGCTAGATTTTACATTTGCTACTTATATCTATGCACATTTGATAGGAATTTATGAACATGCCACCTGGTTACAAGGAGATGTACCCTACAGACAAGGCATTGAAATACCACAGAAAGAGTGTGACAACCCAGAATTATCTCTGAGGCAGCAGTGCTGGCCTCCAGGGAGGAAATCGGGGGTGAGAGCAGGAGTGATACTGACTTTTCGCTGAATACCTTTTTGAATCTTGTGTCTTATACATATATTACCTGTGTTTTTAAAAACGATGATTAGGCCAGGCGCAGTGGCACACACCTGTAATCCCAGCACTTTGGGTGGCTGAGGCAGGCAGATCACCTGAGGTCGGGAGTTCGAGACCAGCCTGACTAACATGGAGAAACCTCATCTCTATTAAAAATACAAAAAATTAGCTGGGCATGGAGGTGCATGCCTGTAATCCCAGCTACTCAGGAGGCTGAGGCAGGAGAATCGCTTAAGGGAGGTGGAGGTTGCGGTGAGCCAAGATCACACCACTGCACTCCAGCCTGGGCAACAAGAGTGAAACTCCATATCAAAAACAAAACAAAAAACCACGATTAGGCAGGGCGTGGTGGCTCATGCCTGTAATCCCAGCACTTTGGGAGGCCGAGGCGGGTGGATCACGAAGTCAGGAGATCGAGACCATCCTGGCTAACACAGTGAAACCCCGTCTCTACTAAAAATACAAAAAATTAGCTGGGTGTCGTGGCACATGCCTGTAGTCACAGCTACTCGGGGGGCTGAGGCAGGAGAATCACTTGAACCCGGGAGGCAGAGGTTGCAGTGAGCTGAGATTGCGCCACTGCACTCCAGCCTGGGTGACAGAGCAAGACTCCATCTCAAAACAGAAACAAAAACAAAAGCAAAAAAAAAACATGATTAAAGTCAGTTAGTTATTTTTGGTTTGGGAGTTAGGTTGAAAGTTCCAGACAACAGAGCTATATATTGCCTTTCCTAATTTCTATATTGAGTAGCTCTTCTCTGTTCCCGTTAAATAGAGGAGATAACAGAGAAAGGTACAAAACAGAAATGATGATCAGGGTGAGAGAACAACTCATGCTAGGCTACATTTCAGGAGGAAGAGCAGTGCTTCCTACTGCCTCACATGCATTCTCTCTCCATTCTGCAGTGAGTATTGTGGAAAGGAGCCATGGTCCTCCAGACACTTAACTGCTTCAGATATCATGCTACACGTCTCATAATTTGAATTTATAACGGCAGACAGTGATAAATGTTATAAAAGCAAAGAACCCTTCTTTGTGTGGGGTGGGCAGAGAAGAGTGAGCATATCTAGCCAGATGAAGAGTCGGGGTGTGGGAAGGGAGAGTGGCTGGGCGGCAGGAGAAGACACCTCTGAGGCAGAGGACACCGTATGTGAAGGCTCCCAGTTATACATGAGTGACAAATCAAAGCTGGAAGTAGCGGCACAGTCACAAAGGGAATAACGTGTGGAGAGAGACAAAAAGGATTTCTGAGCATATTGGAGCTTTTTAGCCACAGTGATACCTTCAGCAGGTCACCTTAAATAAAGCAATCTGGATATGTCTCGCATTCTCCAGATATGGATTTTTATGAGTCTTGCTCACCAGCAGACTCAGGCATGAGTTTTTAATAAGAATGTCTAGTTTAGAAATCACCTAGTGCCAGGTGCGGTGGCCACACCTCTAATCCCAGCACTTTGGGAGGCCAAGGCGGGCAGATCACCTGAGCCTGGGAGATCGAGACCATCTTGGCTAACACGGTGAAACTCTGTCTCTACTAAAAATACAAAAAATTAGCCAGGCGTGGTGGCACATGCCTGTAATCCCAGCTACTTGGGAGGCTGAGGCAGGAGAATAGCTTGAACCCAGGAAGCAGAGGTTGAGGTGAGCCAAGATCACACCATTGCACTCCAATCTGGGCAACAAGAGCAAAACTTCATCTCAAAAAAAAGGAAATCAACTAGGAGTATTTTCACATCAAGTTTAGGATTCCCTTCTGAAAATTTTCAATTTCTAATGGGCAGGAGTTTATCCCAGTATCTAAATAATGTAAATGGTAATTAGTTTCTTTTCTGGAGGATTTTATTGTGGGGAAAAAAAAATAAGAGAGAAGATTGAAGATCAAGTCAGACTATCTCTAAACTACTTACTGTTTATGTTACCAAGCCTATGAACTAATGCCCCTTTTTCTTGTCTCTTTCCTATTTAGACGTTGCCTGAAGAAAGCAATAGAGATTACAGAATGTATGGAAGCACAAAACATGAACGTTCTTCTTTTAGGTAATATATGTAAAACATAAAGGATGATTTCTACTTTTCTTCACTTGAGATTCAATTTTTGTATATGTAGCTTTATGTATTTGGAAACGAAAGGAGTGAGATAGTGTAGAAATCCCATTCCTTTCTCCCTAACCTTGGAATTATTTGCCTTGGATTTCAGTATTAGAGTTTAAAACAAAATTCTTTCACTTCAAACTTGGCAGACCTATTCACAGTCCAAGAAGGAATTGTTTGGTATCTTTACCAAAGCTCACATTTCTTAATGTTTTGGATTTTGTTTTGTATTAACTGAGCTTGGTTAAAGTTAAAATCTTTTCATAATCCTTCTTATATAAAGAGCTCCATGGATGACTTTGTTATTTTTATATCTTTGTGTTTAACCACTTTATACAGTTACCATAGAAACTTGGTGGCCTGTGATTTCCTTTTCCTCAGTGGGCTTAACTTGCCGTACATGATGCAAACATTCAGATCAGGCGAGAGCAAGTGTAAACCACCACGCAACGAAGATTGGTGCTGTAACTAGTTAGATCTAAGCTAAAACCTTACCTGCTGTTTAGAAATAATTTTGTTTCGTATGGCCCCACACTGTAAATTAAGTATTGATTGTCTTATGCTTGATACCCCCAAGCTTTTCTCATTCTCTGAAACTCTCTGTTGGCCCTAGGTTCTAAGGGCAGCCTGGAACATGTGTCTTTCTGTGGCTTCTGTCCATCTGATACTGGCTGACCGACTTAGATTTGAATACATTTATTGAGCCCCTGCCTTGTGCTGGGCTCTGTTCTTCTGCCTTCTAGTCATTTACAACCTAATGAGAGAGTTGCCTTAAGTATGCTATTGAAAAAGATCTAACCAGCAATGACAGAACAGAGCATTATTTGAGTATTGAGCAACTTGTGAAAAGGAGGAGGGATAAAGATTGGAGGTCTAAGGGATAGAAGGACTCGGGGCCAGAACGCATTAATCACAGAGTTGTATAAAGTGAAACCTGAATGTTTGACTGATGGAACTGAGACGTCCTTCACTCCTAGATGAACTACTGAATTGTCTCACCTCTGAAATCTCTTTTAGCCCCTCATCCCATTACCCTTAGGAGTATCATTAACACCCTTCAGATCCAAGAAGAAAATGTTTCTTAAAAATGAAACTTGTGGCTGGGCACAGTGGCTCATGCCTGTAATCCCAAAACTTTGGGAGGCCGAGGCATGCAGATCACTTGGGGCCAGGAGTTCGAGACCAGCCTAGCCAACATGACAAAACCCCATCTCTACTAAATTAGCCAGGCGTGGTGCTGTGTGCCTATAGTCCTGGCTTCTCGGGAGGCTGAGGCACAAGAATTGCTTTAACCTGGGAGGCAGAGGTTGCAGTGAGTCGAGATTGTGACACTACACTCCAGCCTGGGTGACAGAGTGGGACTCTGTCTCAAAAAAAAAAGAAAACCTCATTTTGAAAACTGATAACACTAGGTGACAAAAATAAAAATCTATTTGTCTGTAACCCATGTCATCCCATAGCTGAGGCTTGTTTCCTGGAGGTAGAAGTGTAAGCTTGGACCCAAAGTGCTCTGTGATTATAGGAGTCAAAATGAGAGAGTTATCACAGTATGAGCACCTCTTAGTTACAATTCATTCTTAAGTTTCTCTAATGCCAGTGATAACTAGCACCATCCTCCTCATGGGCATTTTTTAAAAAAACAACTTGAGTCACACCTACTTTTGTAAAAGGGAAACTGGGGATGTAGACTCTGACTTTTAGGATCTTAAAACTCTTAAGAGATAAAGACGTGTGGTTCCTTTGCTCTAGCTCATGAATGTTAAACAAGTATGTGAGTGGACTTTTCATCAGATGGGTTTGGAAAGTGCATGAAAAGTGGGCATGTGGAAGTAGACCATGGAGAATTTGTCTCCTACGCTAGGCAGAGAAGCAGGCACCTCTGTGCTCCTCAAACAGGAAAGGACAGAGCCTTAGAGCTTCCTAGGCCGGAGATACAGGTACCTCTGTGCTCCTCAAACAGGAAAGGATAGAACCTTAGAGTTTCCTAGGCTAGGCAGAGAAGCAGGCACCTCTGTGCTCCTCAAACAGAAGAGGACAGAGCCTTAGAGCTGAAAATAGAAATAAATTTGCTACAGTCAAGAAATATTCAACCTTCTCCAAAGTAGAGTTAGTGGAGGACTTCGGAGTGGAGGAAGGGAGGTCTGAGGTGAGTTTGAGAAGCAGCTGAGCCGTGAAGCAGTGAGTTCAGTGACGGAGGCTTCCACACCCCAGGAAGGAAGGGCTTTAGTCTTGGCCTGCGGAAGCTGGCAGGTCATCATTATGTAAATGATTCTACTGTCTCTGTAGGTGTGGCACATGTAGACCCCTACATGCTGAAAATAGCTTTGCAGTGCTGCATTTATGTATTCAGTATGCAAATACATACTTAGTCCCAGTGTATGCCGACACCTGTACTAGACATGCTAGAGCAGTTCATCTCAGTCTGAAAACCTAACCCTTTGTCATTGGCCTTTGCATTTAGGGAATAAGAGCATGACCATTAATAGTAGACCTTGGTGTTGGGAATCCTACTTTTAACTGTACAAATGAGAGCATTCTGAAACTGTCTAACATTTTATGCCCTCCTTCCTCTTTGCACTGCTGCTGGGGCCCTTCCTAGAGGAGAATGCGTCCGACCTCTGCTGTCTCATTTCCTCTCTGGTGCAACTGATGATGGACCCCCACTGCAGAACCAGAACTGGTTTCCAGAGCCTCATCCAAAAGGAGTGGGTCATGGGTGGCCACTGTTTCTTGGATCGCTGCAACCATCTCCGCCAGAATGACAAAGAAGAGGTAAGTTTCCTCACTGCAGACTGTTTCTGTCATGGAGAGAACTACGCAGTCTCTTAATACCTGCCTTCAGATGTAGGGTTACTGCTTGCAAAATGTAAGCCAAACAGGTTTGTTAAGAAAACTGGGATCATTTCATTTTGTGATGACTTTGAATACTTTAAATAATAGTGAAAACTTTCTCAGAGGAAAGAGATATTAATAAGTATGTTCAGAGTTTTCTAAATTGTGTACACCAAAGTGTATACATATTTTATAGTGGGAATAATACTTACTAATAAAACAAATATAAAGTAACTCAGTGAAGAAGACTTCTACCTTTTCTACTAAATTCGTCTTTGCAATGAATAGATATTCAAGGTGCAGGTTTTCTACCGAAAATACAGGTTGAATATCCCTTATCTGAAAGTCGTGGGACCAGAAGTGTTTCAGATTTCAAATTGTTTTGGATTTTGGAATGTTTCCACTCCATTACTGGTTGAGCATCCTTAATCCAAAAATTAGAGGCCAGACATGGTGGTTTGCACCTGTAATCCTAGCAGTTTGGGAGAACAGGAGTTTGAAACCAGCCTAGGCAACATAGAGAGACCCCATCTCTACCAAAAAATAAAATAAACTGGCCATGGTCGTGCCTGACTACAGTCCTGGCTACTAGGGAGGGTGAGGTGAGAGGATTGCTTTAGCCTGGGAGGTCAAGGCTGCAGTGAGCCATAATTGTGCCACTGCATTCCAGCCTGAGTGACAGTGAGACCTTGTCTCAAAATAAATGAAGTTCTTTTTTTTGTAAGTTTTGAATTTTGGAGCTGAATGATTTTAGATTTTCAGAGTCAATTTTTTTGTTTTGTTTTGTTTTATTTGAGGCAGAGTCTTGTTCAGTTGCACAGGCTAGAGTGCAGTGGTGCAATCTCAGCTCACTGCAGCCTCCACCTCCTGGGTTCAAGCTATTCTCCTGCCTCAGCCTCCAGAGTAATTGGCATTACAGGTGTGTGCCACCATGCCCGGCTAGTTTTTTGTATTTTTAGTAGAGATGGGGTTTCACCATGTTTGGCCAGGCTGGTCTTGAACTCCTGACCAGGTGTCCCACCCACCTCAGCCTCCCAAAGTACTGGGATTACAGGCGTGAGCCACCACGCCCAGACATTTAGTAAATTTTCCTTGCACATAATTTTTTTTTTTAATAAAGCACAAGGGCCAGGTGCGGTGGCTCACGCCTGTAATCTCAGCGCTTTGGAAGGTCGAGGCGGGTGGATTGTGAGGTCAGGAGATCGAGACCATCCTGACTTACACGGTGAAACCCCATCTCTACTAAAATTACAAAAATTTAGCCGGGTGTGGGGGCACACACCTGTAGTCTCAGCTACTCGGGAGGCTGAGGCAGGAGAATTGCTTGAACCCAGGAGGCAGAGGTTGCAGTGAGCCAAGATCACAGTACTGCACTCCAGCCTGGGCGACAGAGTGAGACTCTGTCTCAAAAAAAAAAAAAAGGAAATAAAGCACATGGTTATGTTAATGCTATCTGTTACCAGGGCCTTAGTGGTAGCCTGTGTGGGACTATGCCCACAGCCTCTTCTGCTTCTGTCTGGATGAATCACTCCAGGCCTGGGCCTCCAAGTTCAGGCACAGGAGAGTTAGCATTTGAGGTCACTTGGTGAAAATGAGTCCCCCAGATTGTGGTATACATGTCCAGGTGACAGCTGTACACACTCCCTTGGCTGCCTTCTTGATGATTGGTAGAAAGAAAACTGAAAGCAGACAAACTTTCTTTAATCAAATCACCTGCCAAGCAGCGTGACTTGTGGTTTTCATACTCCAGGTAGTCAGCATGTCTCTCTGTGGTGCAGAACAGTTTGACACAGAATGCTGTGGGCAGAGCCATGGCTCCTGATGTCATGGGCTTGGTGGGTTCCTGGGGTGATCCAGGTCTCTCTCACTGAGCTAGATGGTTTCTTTCAGGCCTGGCTTGGACTCGTCTGTGTCCTATTGAGCTGAATAGAAATCACATCTTTCAGTCCAAGGGACTTTAAGGAACTAATTTGAAAGGTTGATGGCATTTACATAACATGGTAGGCAGAGAGCCAATACTGTGTGGAGAAGAGCTTTGTTGTTGTTGTTGTTTTGGGTTTTTTTTTGAGCTAGAGTTTCACTCTTGTTGCCCAGGCTGGAGTGCAGTGGTGCAATCTTGGCTCACTGCAACCTCTGTCTCCCGGGTTCAAGAGATTCTCCTGCCTCAGCCTCCCAAGTAGCTGGGATTTCAGGCATATGCTACCATGCCCGGCTAATTTTGTATTTTTAATAGAGACAGGATTTCTCCATGTTGGTCAGGCTGGTCTCGAACTCCTGACCTCAGGTGATCCACCTACCTCGGCCTCCCAAAGTGCTGGGATTACAGGTGTGAGCCACGCCACCCGGCCTTGTTTTGTTTTTGAGACATGGTCTTGCTGTGTTGCCCAGGCTGGAATACAGTTGTGCCGTCATGGCTTGGTGCAGTTTCAACCCCCTGGGCTCAAGCAATCCTCCTGACTCAGCCTCCTGAGTAGCTGGGACTATAGGCTCGTACTATCATGTCTAGTTAATTTTTGTGTTTTTTGTAGAGATGGATTTTGCCATGTTGCCCAGGTTGGTCTCAAACTTCTGGGCTCAGGCGATCCACCTGCCTCAGCCTCCCAAAATGCTGGAATTACAGGCATGAGCCACCATGCCTAGCCGTATGTTTTTGTATATCTTGAGAAAAGGGGGACTGGCAGGCACCATGTCTAATGGCGAAAGAGTCTGAGGTCTAAGAAGAGACCCGATCTGCTGTTTACCCAGCCCTTGGAGAAGTCACTCATATTTTCTGAGCCTATTGCCGTGCCTATACAGTGCAGTTCGGATATTTTCCACTCTATTTAATGATACTATGCATAAAATGAAGTGAAATAAAGCTGCTGTACAAATATTTCTTTGCATCTCAACATGGACATATTGGAGTTTTGAAGGAAAGGTGGGTGGTGACATTTGTGATCTGATTGAAGCGGCTTTAGGAGCTGCATCCCGACTCTTCTCTCTCAGGAGCCCTGTGTGAGACCCTGGGGCCAGCCTTCCAGCATCTCAAATCTTCCCCATTTCCTCCTCTGTAAGGGAGAGACTGTAACATAGCTTATCTTAGCCCCTGGCAGGATCACTGGTGAATCAGGGAGGATAAGCGCTTTATAAATGACAGAGTACACTAGAAACCACTCTCCCTGCTCATCAAGAGCTCCCCCCTGGGAGCTAATAAAGGAGGCTTGTGGATTTGTAAACATACATTTTGAAACTCACTTTCACTGCTTCTGCCTTGTCTCCCATCCCCATTGTCTTCTGGGCCCTCACTGCAGGGGTGGAGAGGAGGCCTCTCTTTCCAGGTCGGTCTCCAGGATCAAACCCTGTTAGTCAGTGTGTGGCCAGGTAGAGAATGGAAGTTTCCCCCCTGCCCATTACTTTTTATTGACAAAGTTCAAAGTAGCAATCATAATTAAGTACATTTTTTGGTAGTGTAGTACTGCTGATGAGAAGAATGGAATTTTTTTTTGGAGGAGGTAAAATTTTGCTTAATTGGGGTTCTATGTTAATGTTTTCCTTTATCAGAATCAGTTGCAGATGCTCACTGTAACTCTGATCCATAATGAGATTTTTACATACTTCATCTTTGAAATGTCTGACACAGATAGGTACGTGATTCCACAAGCATGTGATTTCAGTTTAGCATATTTCTCACTTGGGATGGAATGGAGAATCCTGAGTTTCCCAGAGAACAAAGTCCTCAGAAGTGGTTATTCCACAGCTGTGGAGGTGGCTGCCCCTGAACTCAGGATGGCTTGCTTTGGGCTCTGCCCACCAAGTAACGTATCTTGTTTTCATGCAGGTTCCCGTGTTCCTGCTTTTCCTAGATTGTGTCTGGCAGCTGGTGCATCAGCATCCCCCGGCATTTGAATTCACAGAGACTTATCTGACTGTTCTGTCAGATAGCCTATACATACCTATTTTTAGCACCTTCTTCTTCAATTCGCCTCATCAAAAAGATACTAACATGGTAAGAGTCCCTCTTAGGAACCTGTGTATTGAAGAGGCTCCCTCTCACAAGTATGCAGTAATACTGAAGCTAAAAATGGTGCTCCCTTGGCAGCACATACACTAAAAAAAGTTGGAATGATATAGAGAAGATTAGCATGGCCCCTGCACAAGGATGACATGCAAACTCATGAGACACTCCGCATTTTTAAAAAGATATTTAACACTATATACCAAGCATTGTTCTAAGAGCTTTTTAGGTATTAATATTTAATCCTCACAGCACCCTGTGGCTTATGCTTTTTATTATCCCAGAGAAAGCTAAGGCTTAAAAAGGATAAGTAACTCACCGGTGGTCACATGGTAAATAATTGGAATTGGAAGCAAGTGTTGAAGCTGGGAAATTAAGCAGAATTCAAAGCTGTCCGTTTCAAAGACAGTCAGACCAGATGTCCTCCCTTTCGTCTGCTTAATGCCTGGAATTCCTCTGTGAAGAGAATGGAGAGCAAGCAGAGCAGGGAAGCTAGGCTTTTCGTTTCATCTTATCCCCTTTGGTCCCTCCTGAGGCTGTGTCCACAGGCATAGCTTTCCCAGCTAATCTCAGTGCTTCTGAGCAGCCTCCTGAGGGGTGCAGGGTTTGCTTGAGCTGGGAGATTACCAAATCTCCCAGGGCAATAGGAGCAACAGCCCTGCTTTCAGAGCCCAGCCTAGTGACTTTCCACTTCTGTGACCTTGGGCAGTTCAGTTTTCTGAGCCTTGGTTTCCTCAGATGTAAAATTGGAAAAACAACAGTTACCTCGCGAGGCTGTGGAAGCACCCAGCACAGCAGCTGGCGTGTAGACTGCCTGAAAGTAAGTGTCCTCCTTCTTGCCCTCCTCCCCTACCAAAAGCAGGTAGCCTCAGCCTTTAAAAATAAAGTGCCCATGATTATTCATTCTCAGGGCAGGGTGGGAGCACACTTCCTGGTGCCTGTTTCCAGAAGTATGTGTTTGCCTTCCTCAGCCCTCCCGGGAAGCCGTTGTGACCTGTGCTTGTTTTGGCAGGGTAGAGAAGGCCAGGAGACACAAAGCAAGCCTTTGAATCTGCTCACCGTGTGGGATTGGTCTGTGCAGTTTGAACCCAAAGCCCAGACATTGCTCAAAAACCCTCTTTATGTGGAAAAGCCAAAACTGGACAAAGGCCAGCGGAAAGGAATGCGCTTCAAAGTAAGATGTCCACATGTCTAAATTCCCTTCATCTGCCCAGATCCCATGCATGTAATGATGCAAGATACATATGGATGCTGTCTGCCAGCACGTCCTACCCCTCGAAGCAGTATGCAGAGTCGAGATTTGTGACAGTCAAATTGTCGAGGCCCATTAGAATCCTTTGCTTTCAGCAAATCACCTTTACCCTGGTGTGACAGGGCCATTTGCCAAATGTCACTGAGGATGCTGCTACCCTAGTCATACTCCATGGAATCGTTCCTCTCGTCCCGCCTGTGTGTGTGTGAGTAAAAGGCACATTGATTGCATGGGTTTTACTCGGCTGATACCAGTTCATTTATTATAATAAATAGTAAGACTTTCCTAATGAGCTGTGCCTGTAAACCACAGGTTACAAAACTCTTTCTGTCAAGGGCCACAAAGTCTGTCACAACTACCTCTCCACTGTTGTAGTACAAAAGAAGCCTTAGGCTGCTCTGCCTGTGGAATGGCCGTTCTTTATTCCTTTACTTAAAAAAAAAAAAGGAGCCTTAGTTAGTAGGTGAACAGTAGGCATAGCTGTGTTCCAGTGTTCATGAGAACAGGTACCAGGCCAGATTTGGCCTGAGGGGTGGCCAGTTTGCTGACCTATGCTATGAACCACAAATGTCAAAAACTCATTTTAGTTGATAATCCCAAAGTTCCCTAATTGATGAATTATTTAACTGACATTTCCTAGCTCTGTCTCCAGGCCCAGAATTTCTCCCCCACAGAGTCCGCAAAGGAGAGAGCAGTGATGGTAAGTCCAAGTCGATGTGTGTCACTGCTTTCTCCATGCCATCCTCATCCTGCGTGATCTGGAGGTGCTCCAGAAAGCCTGGCCCTTTCTGGTGTCAGATTTGGTTCCATTCTAAACGAGACTGGGGACCTAGGTGAGCCACAGCCAGCATGTTGGCGATGTTGGCTGGTGAGCCACTCAGAATGGCCACTCTGCCCTTTTAGGGACCATAGGCCCAGGGTGGAGTTTCCCCTTTCTAGTTGAGCGTCTCCTGCCAGTTTGACCAGAATTCCCCGAGCCCCAGAACAGCTTGGCCAGAAATCAGTTTTTCTTCAGTGTGTTGTGCCCCCTGGTGGCTGCATGCACATTCTCATGAGCGCCGGATTAGGACCACTGAAACTGTGCTGTGCCAGAGTGGCAGGGGACCTCAGAGATGGCGAGGACGACCCCTTGTTTTACAGGGGAGAGCCTTAGGCTCCCCATTCCAATAATGGATTTCATTTCTCTCCTCAGCTTTTCTTTTTTTGTTGCTGTTGAGACAAAGTCTCACTCTGTTGCCAGGCTGGAGTGCAGTGGCACAGTGCAACCTCCACTTCCAGGTTCGAGTTGTTCCCCTGCCTCAGCCTCCCGAGTAGCTGGGACTACAGGCGTGCGCCAACATGCCCAGCTAATTTTTTGTATTTTAGTAGAGACGGGGTTTCACCATGTTGGCCAGCATGGTCTTGATCTCCTGACCTGGTGATCCACCCGCCTCGGCCTCCCAAAGTGCTGGGATTACAGGCGTGAGCCACTGTGCGCGGCCCTCAGACGCAGCTTTTCTAGTCGTCCCTTTTCCTTGGAGATAGGGAAAGCCAGCCTGAGCAACAAGAGTTGGTGGGTGGGAAAGCACTGAGCTGAAGGGGTGGAGAATTGCAGGTCGCACTAGCTAAATCACAGTTGGGACGGGGCAACAAGAAGCTTTGAAGCCTTGGGTAAGAAGACCAGATATCAGGTGGGGTGACGTGTTGAATGGCCTAGTGGCCTGGGGAAGTTCTGCCGAGAGTCCGAGGAAGCAGGGGCTGAGCAGCATGTGGCACTGCCATGCGAATCCCACACGGGAGGGACCTGCTCCAGTGTGCAGCCTCAGTGTCAGCCGCAGGCTCGGGCCAGGCTTTGGCCTGTAGAGCTGCTTGCATGTCAGCTGGTCTTGAGTGCTCTCTTCGCTTGGGAGATAGAGAGAAGAGGGCTTCCAGTACCAAGGAGAGCTCAGTAGAGAGCTCAGGCTCTGGAGCCAGACTGTTTGAACCACCTTTGGCACTGAGCAGAGTGCCTTCGGCAGATTGCTTCCCTCTGTGCCTTAGTTTCCTCGTTTGAAAAATGGGGCAATAATAGTGACTTTGAGAATGAGGTGCTCAGTGAATGTGAGTACTAAGCACAGAACCGAGCAGGAGGAAGCACTGGGTGATGGTTCAGTTTAGTCTCTGCCCTGCCTGGCACAGCTTCACAATGGAGAAAAGAGAGGCCACTGACTCCTCGCCTTCATCTCTTCTGTCCCTGATGGAAAGTCAGAAATCCTAGTCACTTCCAAGTTGTGGTCTTATGGATGGTCTTGCTTTCTTTTTAATATTTTTATTGTTATTCCATATTTCATAATATGGAAATAATTTTCTTTACAATAAAGAATATCTTTTTACAAGGAAGAACCACTGATAGAAATATGTTAGAGAGTTTTAGAGTAAGCCCGAAAATTAAGTTATCTCTTCTTACTTCAAATGAACAGTAGCAAAAGAGCTGAACAAACAGCTTCTCCCCATGTTTTTTTACTTCTCCTCTGAGCACTGGGGACCCCCATGACCTTCTGACCACATCCATCTTTCACAACCCTTTCTTTTTTTTTTGAGACAGAGTTTCGCTCTTGTTGCCCAGGCTGGAATGCAACAGCGCGATCTTGGCTCACTGCAGCCTCTGCCTCCCAGGTTCAAGCGATTCTCCTGCCTCAGCCTCCTGAGTAGCTGAAATTACAGGCACACGCCACCACACCTGGCTAATCTCTTATATTTTTAGTAGAGATGGGGTTTCGCCATTTTGGCCAGGCTGGTCTTGAACTCCTGGCCTCAGGTGACCTGCTCACCTCGGTCTCCCAAAGTGCTGGAATTACAGGTGTGAGCCACTGCACCCAGCCTTACAACCCTTTCACAGTGCACCCCCAAATATGATACTCTAGCCACAGAGGGAATTACCAAGGGGGAAAAAATGAAAAAGTGAAAATGTTCTCACATTTTCTACTTCATGCAGGTTGTCAGACAAGCCTGGTCAACTTAGCTGGTTCATCAAATTTCTTTGCTCTCACCTGCCTGTTTTCCTTTGTCCAAAAGAATCTTTATGACTTAGGCTTAAACTCCTGCTGGATGCCTGATAAGCTGCTATTTCACCCATGCAATAGTATCTTCCAGTAGTCAGTGCCTCCGCGCAGGCGTTCAGAAGACTAGTGGTTAACAGCCTTAAAGTTCTCAAAGAAGAAACCTTTTTCCCTTCAGAACATGAATAGGCCTCACTCACAAGTTCCCCTAAGTTATTAAACTGTCTTAAGTTAAACAGCTTTTTCAGAAGTACTTTGTGTCCCGTGGTGCCCCTGTGACAGAGGAGAACGCTGAAGTTCCTTTCTCTGTGTCCCAGCATGCCTTTCTGCACAGCCACCATGTGCACCTGGTTTCCCATTTGTTTCTGGTACAGGGTGCACCATGAGACTAAACAGGAACCCCCCCACCTCTGGGTGTTACGGCATGTTAATGAGTGTGCATTCACATGGCAACGCTGATGTCTCTTGGAACTTGTTAAAGCAGGGTTATGCTCTTTTTTTGATGGCAGCAACTGTTAACTGTGCCTGTTACGTTAACCAGTGATTTTTGTGTTTTGTCTCAAAGCATCAGCGACAACTTTCCTTGCCACTTACACAATCTAAGTCATCTCCCAAAAGAGGATTTTTCAGGGAAGAAACAGATCATTTAATTAAGAACCTTCTGGGCAAGAGAATTAGCAAACTTATTAATTCGTCTGATGAGCTCCAAGACAACTTTCGGGAGTTTTATGACACCTGGCACAGCAAGCCCACTGACTACCATGGTTTGTTGTTACCGCATATCGAGGGACCTGAAATCAAAGTCTGGGCCCAGCGCTACCTGCGCTGGATTCCAGAAGCCCAAATCCTAGGTGGTGGCCGAGTGGCCACTATGAGCAAACTCTTGGAAATGATGGAGGAAGTCCAGAGTTTACAAGAGAAGATCGACGAGAGACACCACAGCCAGCAGGCCCCCCAGGCCGAGGCCCCCTGCCTGCTGAGGAACTCTGCCCGCCTGTCCTCTTTGTTTCCTTTCGCTCTGCTCCAGCGACATTCCTCTAAGCCAGTCTTACCCACCAGTGGCTGGAAGGCTTTGGGAGATGAAGACGATTTGGCCAAACAAGAAGATGAGTTCGTGGACCTAGGGGATGTATGACCTACTTGTTGAGTGATTGTGAGAGACTGGGACAGCGGATCCCTGGATTTGTGTCATGCTGCAGCTAATGCTGGCTGGGTCCTTAGCCTGGCACTCCATTGGAATAAACCTGGGCCTTCGGGAAAAAGGGTGGCTCTCATTATTTTTAATGGTTCTAAAAGACTATGCAATTAAAACTGCATCTGTAGTATTATTAATTGGAGGGAATTATTACTTGACCTGCAATAAGGTTGTGGCCGTTTTCTGACGCCTGAGTATTATACAGGGCCCGCAATGGCCAGTTTACTACCAGAAAGGGCTTCAGTAAGATATTCCTGGACTTGATACTTTCTTCGGACCCTCTTTGTGCCAAGATAATTTATCCAGTCATTGGGAATAGTAAGTTTCTGTGTAACCCATCTCAATTATAGAAGCAAGTTCAGCTTTACGTATTTGTATGGTGATTGAAGATTCAGATAGAGGTATTAAGATGTGTGGCATTTACTTAGACCATCACATTTTTCCTTTCTATGCCCCCTTGCCTGTGAAACAGCTGGGAAGTTCCACTGGTATCATCCATCCTGATGCTTCAGGCCGTCCTCCCTCCTTCATAGACTGTGTCACTTTGCCTATGGGTGGGGCTAGACACCCACCCCCCCCGACTCTGTGCTGCCAGCCCCAGGTCTTCCTTCACCTGCTCCAAGCCACTCGCCACTGTCCCTCTGCACTCCCTGCCTTGGTGCGTGTAGTCCCAGTGTCTCACTGCTAAGCCTGTTGGTTACGCTGGGGGATCTCTTTCTTTGCTTGAGGAGCTTCCGTTCCTCTGGAGTCTCCTGGTGTTTGGATCAAGTTGCTTTGCCTTTTCGCCTTTTTCTACTTGCCTGCTGAGGCTTTGAGCACTTGTGATTGCGGTTTTCTGCAGCAACCTCTGAGCCGAGTTCCTCACATTCTTTTACCTTTACAGACTGATGGGATTGGGTCACTTTTGAATGTGGCTTTCATAGGAAAGCAGTTTAAACATAAATATCAGAAGTGGCGATGATCATATGATACCTCAGTGATTTAAAAGCCATAGAAGAAACTTGACTATGCCTGGTCACCTTCTTGGATCTGCTGTTGAAATGAGATACATATATATTTTAATGCAGGAAAGTATACTTTGTAAGGAGCAGTTTTTTTTGTTCTCAGTGGAACCCTGTCAAATCCCATAAAAGAGAGGAAAAAAACAAAACTCGTTAGAATGTTTTAAATCAAATGTTTGCCTTTTACATGCATTTGCTCTTCAGTATGGATCCCAATTTGAATGTTATGTGTATAGAGAAACTTCCACTTGTTCAAGGGCAATAAGAAAATGCGAGGCTGGGTGTGGTGGCTCATGCCTGTAATCCCAGCACTTGGGGAGACTGAGGCGGGTGAATTACTTAAGCCCAGGAGTTCGAGACCAGCATGGGCAAGATGGCAAAACCCTGTCTCTACTAAAAATACAAAAATTAGCCAGGTGTGGTGATGCATGCCTGTAGTCCCAGCTACTCAGGAGGCTGAAGTGGGAGGATCCCTTGAGCCTGGGAGGTGGAGGTTGCAGTGAGCCAAGATCATGCCACCGCACTCCAGCCTGGGTGTTAGAGCAAGAACTTGTCTCAAAAAAAGAAATTTGAAACTGTTGACTAAGAGGAGTTTCCAGGTTTGCACTGAATTGTCTTTTGTACATACAATGAATTGTTTTGCTGTGCTCCCCACTCCGTATGAATGCAGGAGCCAGACTGGTCTATTAAGATGAACAAAGGTTGAGGGGAGGGCAGGATTCATGCATCTGGAGGCCAAACACGTGTTTCCTCTTGATTGCCTTAAGAGTTAGTAGCAAGGTCGGTGTTAGGCTTGCAATAGGGATTTTAAAATACACTAACTAGTTCCTTAGCTACTTTCACATACAGTCTATAGGCCTTCTTAAATTAGCACTAACCCCCACTTCCTTCTTTGCCCCACTGCCTCCCAAATATGCTATGGAGCTATTTTTTTACCACATTATAACATGAATATTTATACAGTAGCCTCTTCAGGCTTCATAATTTTCATTCCAAAAATGCCCGGTGTGATGCTTTACACTCTACGAAGTATGGTTTAAAGGCACAAGGTCATGGCCTTTGTCATAGCAGTGAATGTGCATTTAAATATTTTTCTATGATTTTTTTAAAATTACGATAGAAAAATAAACTGTTGTAACGTGTAAGGTCATGACAATTTTTGTATTTATATTTGAAATCAGATTTCTATAACTTGTATTTGTGTACAGAATTCTCAATGGGTTTATATATTGTGAAATTTTTATCCAAGATTGGGACGTGGATTATGCTTAACATTGAAAACTGAAATGAGGCCATTTACTTTGTTTAAAATGCTGTACTGTGCAGGTTTGGAAATGTACATTACTTTACTGTATATAATATCTTGAGTTGTTTATACCTCCAGGTTTTTACACTGAAGATAAACTAGCTTTAATTAAATTCAAAATGTTTTTTTCTTTATAAGGGAATAAGCTGTTGAGGTAAACCTGTATACATGTGCTATTTTCTGGATACACAATGAAAGTTTATACTTGTATCTCACTGCATCAAATCTGATTGCAGAAATTAAAGCACAATTTACAAGTAATTCTGTACTTGGTGTGGTTGGGTATAACATGTGGAGTAATCCCTTTCATTCAGGAAATATTGAGCATGTACTGGGTACTTGGCAGGGCCAATGGGGACGGCAGTGAAGAGTGGAGTTTGCATTCTTGTGGGGCACAAGGGAGGTTTGGTGGTGGGAACAAATAACCAAACAAATACTTAAAATCTCAGGTGATTTGCAGTCACAGGTATATCACAGCACTATTCACAATAGCAAAGACATGGAATCAACCCAGGTGCAATAGTGATGGACTGGATCAGGAAAATGTGGTACATATACACCATGGGATACTATAAAACCATTAAAAAGAATGGAGCGAGTTGCGGCGGCTCATGCCTGTAATCTCAGCACTTTGGAAGGCTGAGGCAGGCAGATCACAAGGTCAGGAGTTCAAGACCAGCCTGGCCAGTATGGTGAAATCCTGTCCCTACTAAAGGTACAAAAATTAGCTGGGCGTAGTGGCGTGCGCCTGTAGTCCCAGCTACTCGGGAGGCTGAGGCAGGAGAATCCCTTGAACCCGGGAGGTGGAGGTTGCAGTGAGCTGAGATCCCGCCACCGTACTCTGGCCTGGGTGACAGAGTGAGACTCCATTCAAAAAAAAAAAAAAAAACAGGAATCATGTCCCTTGCAGCAACATGGATGCAGCTGGAGTCCATTATCCTAAGTGAATTCATGCAGAAACAGAAAACCAAATACTGCGTGTTCTCATTTCTAAATGCGAGCTAAACATTGGGTATTGGACATAAAGATGCGGACCATAGACACAGGACACTCAAAAAGCAGGGAAGGAGTAGGGAAGGGTTGAAAAACTACCTATTGGGTACTATGTTCACCATTTGATTGATGGGTTCATTTGAAGCCCAAACTTCAGCATCACGAAATATGCCCATGTAATAAACCTGCACAGGTACCCCCTGAATCTAAAGTAAAATTTAAAAATAATAAAAATTCTAGCCAGGCACGGTGGCTCATGCCTATAATCCCAGCATTTTGGGAGGCCAAGGCAGGCAGATCACCTGAGGTCAGGAGTTCAAGACCAGCCTGGCCAACATGGTGAAACCCCATCTCTTCTGAAAATACAAAATTAGCCTGGCGTGGTGGTGCATGCCTATGATCCCAGCTACTTGGGAGGATGAGGCAGGAGAATCTCTTGAACCTGGAGGTGGAGGTTTCCATGAGCCAAGATCACGTCACTGCACTCCAGCCTGGGCGACAGAGCAAGACTCTGTCTCAAAAAAAAAAAAAAAAAAAAAAAGATGCTGAAGAAAAATTAGGGTGGGGATAGGGTGATTAAAAGAAAGTTTTTAAAACCCCTGAAATTAAATATTACCTCTCTGCTTTTTGTGAGGATCTGTCAATTCTGTTATTCTGGAATAAGAATTGCTGGAAGAGGTCTGAGTACATTTAAACCATTGCTGGTTTCATTTAAACCATGAAAGATAGAAACAGGCTTTGTTTTTGTTTCCAGAGAGGATAAGCGAGTGAGCACAGTGTGAGATGGCTCCTGAGAGTAGGATTTGTTTCTAATTAGTTTTGTTTAATACTTAACTAGATTGAGACATAGTACCTGTGTATGTTCTGAGACAGAAGGCTCATGTTTCTCTGACCTTTCCTACACACAGAGGAGGCTTCTCATCCTGCTGCTTGTCCCCATCTCCCTTTCCTGTCTGGCCAGGCCCACCCTACTGTGTCCAGAAAGCCAGCTCTGAGACATCCCTGGAATTTAATAAGCTCTCATTGATAACACGTGCTTTTCAGATGTTTTGCTTCTTTGGTGTTTGTATTAAATTTCCAAGTAGTAGTTATGACCATAGAGTTTAGCAGCTTCTCGTCTTGTTTTCTACATTTGTTTAGCTCTTGTACTTTGGGTGGACTCAGCTATCTCTCACTCTGGATTTTGCTTGTTCCTTCCCCACCACCCCCCCCCACCACCCCTGAGATGGAGTCTTGCTCTGTCACCCAGGCTGGAGTGCAGTGGCGCGATATCAGCTCACTGCAACCTCCGCCTCCTGGGTTCAAGCAATTCTCTGCCTCAGCCTCCCGAGTAGTTGGGATTACAGGTGCCCGCCACCATGCTTGGCTAATTTTTTTGTATTTTTAATAGAGATAGGGTTTCACCATGTTGACCAGGCTGGTTGTGAATTCCTGACCTCACGATCTACCTGCCTCAGCCTCCCAAAGTGCTGGGATTACAGGTGTGAGCCACTGAGCCCGGCCTGATTTTGTTTGTTCCTTGATGTCCAGGTGAGGGCATGGAGGGACTCGGGGTGTAAAGAGTGGAACATTCTCCATCCAGTGTGAAACAGGGTGGGGTGTTGGCTCCTGTGGAGAACCAGACCCTGTGTCTTCATGCCCCCTATCTTTAAGGCAGTTGGGGCCTGAGGGCGCCTGACTAAAGCCTGTTTTCCGAGCCCCTCCTGTGACTGTGTACTGGGCTTGTGTCCCACCATGGCTCTAGATTACTTATGCTCAGCCCTGGTGAGCACAGCCCAAGGTGTCCCTGGGGCAGGACAACTTGGGGCTGAACATTCGGGATGCCCCTGCCCTGCTGCAGAGACAAGATCTATAGAGATGCATGGCCTTATTGGGTCCACCTTCCACACCACACACACACACACACACACACACACACACACACACACATACACACACACACCCCACCCTGAAAAGTACTAGCATGGGAGTGGGAGAGGCAGGATTCTCTCTGTACCGCAGGTTCCAATATAACCAGGGATGTGTCCAAGTGCTTCCACTTGACTTTGTTGATAACCAGGCTAGCTGTGGGTAGTGCAAAATCAATGTTTTAAATATCATATATTGAAAAGTAATTTGAGTGATTTTATGTCTAAAAGCAAATGTCTTAGCCTGTTTTGTGGTTCAGACCCAGGTTCTTTTATTTTTAAATCTCCTATTACACTGTCTGCCCTTAGCAATTAAAGGATACGAAATGTGTCATCATATGGAAATACACAGAGTAAGCTTTTTTCAGTATATAATCTGTAGGTTCACACACAGTAAACTTTTAGGACTTGTTTTGCAAAAGCTTTCATTTTGCTAGCCAGTTTCATAAAGGGCTGTCAGGCCCTGAATGTTTTTATGAAATCCTGAATGGAGGACTTTCCAAACTGTCTTGCAGAAGTCTGGGGCCTAATGAATGTCATGCTTACTCCTCCCCAGCACTGAAAGGGCACAAGTGCATGCCATTCCTGGGAAGGAAAAGAATACAGACGGACCACATTCCATCCCTGGACTGACCCTGAGGACTTTGCTTGGAATGCTACTGCTGTAGCCTCCAGGAGAGGATCAAGGCACGTAGCTCATGCCGACACTTTAGGAGGCTTCGACAGGTGGATCTCCTGAGGTCAGGAGTTCCAGACCAGCCTGATCAATATGGTGAAACCCCGTCTCTACTAAAAATACAAAAATTAGCCGGGTGTGGTGGCGTGCATTTGTAGTCCCAGCTATTCGGGAGGCTGAGGCAGGAGAATTGCTTGAACCCAGGCTGCACTCCAGCCTGGGCAACAGAGTGACACACCAACTCAAAAAAAAAAACAAAAACAAAAAAACGCTTCTCTCCTCTCCCCAGCTGATGGGGTTCGAGTGGGGGGAAAACAGTAGAGATTGGTGGGGGTGGGGCAGGGGTGAACTTCCTAGGAAGGGGAACAAGTGAATATTCTGGAGTGATGGTAGCGTTGTATATCTTTTTTTTTTCTTTTCTTTCTTTGGTTTTTTGTTTGTTTGTTTGTTTGTTTTTTGAGACAGAGTCTCACTCTGTCACCTGGGCTGGAATGCAGTAGCTCGATCTTGGCTCACTGCAACCCCTGCCTCCTGGGTTCAAGCAATTCTCCCACCTCAGCCTCCCAAGTAGCTGGGATTATACGCAGCCACCACCACACCCAGCTAATTTTTGTATTTTCAGTAGAGATGGGGTTTCACTGTGTTGGCCAGGCTGGTCTCAAACTTCTGACCTCAAGTGATCTATCTGCCCCAGCCTCCCAAGTGAGCTGGGATTACAAGCATGGGACATCATGCCCGGCCAAATCTTTCTATTTTTTAATTAAAAAAAATATTTTTGAGACAGGATCTCACTCTGTTGCCCAGGCTGGTGTGCAGCGGTGCGACCACAGCTCACTACAGCCTTGACCTCCATTTTGTAGAAATGGAGTCTCACTATGTTGCCCAGGCTGGTCTTGAACTTCTGAGCTCAAGCCATTCTCCTGCCTTGTCCTCCCAGAGTGGTGGAATTGGAGGTGTGAGCCACCACGCCGGGTTCTGGCTCCCTGAAGCCAGACTGTCTGAGTCTGAACCCCTGTTTTGCAGCTTACACCCCGTAACATGGCACCATGCCTGGAACCCACCTCACTGGAGAGTTGGAGGGTTGAGGATAATAGTCTATAATAATGTAAATATTCAATAAATGGAGCTGTTATTGTGTATGTGTGTGGTCATTTACATACATCATGTAAACAGAGGGTGTGTGTGTGTATATGTGTGTGAGTGTCTGTGCGTTTAAACTTCATTTCCACAAGGAACAAAGAACATTTGAAGTATCCTAAACAGGAACCCAAGTTCCAAAGGTGGCTACATAAGCACTTCAAATGTTTCCAAAATCTATCCCAGAAGGTTTCTTAAGCAGCAGAGGGAATATTAAAAATCATCTTTCAAAGGTGCAATGAGTGAGTACTTGAGGTATGTGAGGTACTTGAGGTCTATTGGCTAGAAATATCACAGAGTCCTCACTGTCACACCTACAGGATATACAAATCCATCAGGCTCAGTGGCATAAATGCATCAGAGCCAAGAATGAGGTCTAAAATCCCTCCCCGGGAACCCAGACAGATTGCAGGGTTAGCTGGTCCTGCGGTCTCATTGCATCTTTTTGTTTTCATTTTTGCTTTGAAACAGAGTCTTGCTCTGTCACCCAGGCTGGAGTGGAGTGGCACAATAATGGCTCACTGCATCCTCCGCCTCCCAGGTTC